AGAAGACAAGAATCCTTCTTTTCCCTACTTACACCAACAGCATACGAACCTTATAAGCCGATGTGTACTGAGAATGGGCCTTTGGGGTTTGGAAGAGCCTGAAAGTCCCACCGGTATCGGTATCGGTGTCTGACCCAGTCATCACACAGCATTGCGTACGTTTTCTCATGTGTAACTTGGGGAGGTGAGAACAGAAAGAAACCGCGAACGGATACTAGTTACTAGTGTACTACAGTATCCATGCAAGGCACGTAGGTTTCATCACGTCTTGGCATCCACAGCCGATCCTCTCTCAGCAAGATGGGGTTACATTGCCGGTGATTCCAGGAGCCAAGACGTTGGGAAGTTGCTTGGACTGGGATAGGACCACTGGTTACTGGTGGGTAAGGTAGGAGAGGAGGCCGGAAGAATTGTTGAGCTGTGCCGGTTACAACATAAGCGGTAGGTATATCTGTGGGGTTGGTCGGGTGATGGGTGATGAATACTTGACGATTGATAAATGAAGCCGAGTTCTGTCCGCGGACTGCAAGATCACGTCGGTAGACCAAGTACCAGAGGACCGCCTCTAGTCGCGGTGGGAAGATCCTGTCGTTATGTAGAAGCAATGGCGATGTTTTGAAGCCAAGCCACACATATGCTGTAATCTATTCAGCACTTTGACTGTCTTCTGAATAGAGGCGTTTGGATTGAAGCGGCGGCGAACTTAAAGCGCCGACTGAGTTTAACTTTGGGAGGATGAAGTAAGGATTTTGCGTTTGCGGACAAGCGCCAGTCGTTGTTATCAGCCAAGGGTGCAATATAAAATGGCATGGCCCATGAAACGGGAAAGCTTTGTAGATTAACGAGGAAATAAACATAAGACAAGGTTTGTAAGGAAAAACTCGTGTGTAAAGTGTGCCCGTAGGTGAGCGTTAGTTGGGTCTATAATGAGGATAGAGAGCGGCCTTTCGTCACCCTTTCCAGTTGAATTTAGTCTATCGAGGTTCATGGCATTCCTAAGTTATGCTCATATATAAGGAATCGCGAAGTTGGGTGAGGAGCTCCTTGATACGGGAGGAAGCACAGGGTCATCTGTTTTGGCTGCTGTTCTTCGTGTGAGGAAGTCCGAAGCAGCTCCGGCTTCGGGCCCCCCGGCGGGGGGGGGGGGGGGGGGGTTATCGAAAGATAAGAAATGGGGTGGACATATTCAGTTGCCGTCCGGCAACCCGCTCCATTCCTGGCCTGACTGCGAAGGAAGATGCCTCGGTGGGCCAAGCGATCCTCCGACACCTTAGCATACTCGATTCACGGATTTGACTACAGTACGCAAAGATACGATTTTGAACTTATTCGTTGGACAAATGTTTTATTTGTACTTTGCCCAATATTCAGGTTCAAGATTTCCGGCTTTGAAACGAGCTCACAGCCCGGTTCGCCGACCGGTCATGACCCAGCCAGCCGTTCCAAGACGGCTACCACATCTGTATGTAAATAATAATCTATTCCGCACCTAATACCATGACCACGGTAAGCTACCCCTCGGCTAACCTCTTCCCTCCTCCACGCGAAAAGACTGAGAACCGCGTGCATAAAACAGCGAGCAAAAGAAGATGAACCAGGTCCATTGACGCCGTGCAGAGATGATGCTGCAAAACCCTGTTGCTCCAATGTGTTGCCGGATGTGAGCGCTCCCCTAAGCGCCAATCCTCGAAATGAAGAATTCCCGACCAAATATCAAACGCCCGCCTGAAGAGGTAAAAAAAAAAAGCAATGCAAAAGCAAGAGTTGCCAGCAAAGGGTGGGTGGCTGATGATTAGTCGCATCGCCCGAAACTCTCGAGTGAGTGTTGCCACCCTGCTTGCTCAGCGTCACCGTCGAGGGGGGCAAGGAACCTGACGGCTGCCGTACGCTAGTTCGTCGCTGTATTCGTTGCCCATTTCAACCGTTTGATGGTATCGCCGGTACCGGTGATCGCATCGTAAGAGTTTGCCACCGCTTCTCGTTGCGGCAAATTGTTGCTCACTATCCTTTCAGATAGATTATCTGACGATATGCTAAGCTCGGACCCAACGATAGAAGACGAGTGAAGAAGTTGCCCTTGACAACTTTGACGCTGACGCCGACGCTGGCGCTGATAGGGCCGTCCATTATACGCCTCTGATGACCCGCGTCCGCTCCTTTTCGAGCTGCAGGGCATTTGCCTCGAACGCTTCCTTCTTGCACTGATGATGGGAAGAGCACTCATGTCAGCACGAAATTCCTCTGTAAGCAAGACATCCGATAGCCCGGCGAGCCACCAGTTTGCCTTGTTATTACTTACATCTTCGAGGTTCTTGCACTTGTGGCTCTCTAATAGTCGGTGCTTGCTGCAATAGTGACCGTCGCAGAAAGTACAATCGCCTGTGATGGGTGCTGCGGGAAGCCTGCACTCGGTGAGCGAGCACTTGAGTCTCCTGGGGGCAGGCATGTTGTCGCAGGTGGTTTTTTGAGTTTAGTGTGGAGGTTGGATAACGTGAAGACGATGTTTGGGTGGAGGTTGTGGAATTAGCGAGGGGGAAAGAGCAGCGTCTCTTGAGGTGAGTTCGGGTGTGTGTTTTCAAGTTGCCCCCTGGAGATGCCGAGGATAAGATGAGTGGATGGTGGGTGACAAATCGATCAATAGGTTGGCAGCTTATGAGACGAAAGGCAGTGAGTCAGGAAGAGGATTGAACGATAAGAGGTTCGAGGTCGGCGGGATGGGATGCTTATAAACAGAGCCGGTGGAGGTGACAAGGCTCACGTGGTGTGATGTTTGGGGACAAGCAAAGGGATAGGCAGCCAAGTGGCAGATTAACTTGGGCTAGTTTCGCGAGACTCTTGTTACAAGTGGAAATGGCTGGAAAGCGTTGGACCTCGTTGGCCAGGGGGTATGTAGTCGAGTGAGGATGATTAAGTACAAGATTTGTAGCTGAGGTAGCTGGTGGCCCGACTCGGACGTGATGTGTGACCAAACAGTGTAAGTGACAAGGGAGCTACAAGTGCCCCGAGAGGTGACAAGGTCGTCCATGAGGACGGTGCGCAGTGTGCAGGAGGGAGGCGGTAGAGCGGCAGAGCGGTAGATCTAGCCTACCTGCTGGCATGGCATGGCATGGCATGGCATGGCATGGCATATGCTGAATGGCAAGGTCTGGGGCTGACATCTTGACCCATCGAGAACAGCACGGCCATCGTGGGCGTGTCGATGACGGCACGGCCGCACGGGAGGCAATGCTGGGGCCGACAACCAGGGCCCAATTGGTGTTCTGGTTGCGAAGCCCCGCTAGCACCATGCCCAAGGCTCCCTTGTCCGTCATTGTTGGCGCCGGGAATTGGAAGGGATTGGATCGACGGAAAGTGGTGCCAGTGACTCCAAGCGACTTGAAGCGACTCCGTACAAGCCGAGGACCCACGAAGACGATGAGGTTGGTGGATGAGCTCAGGAGAAAGCTCCCAAAGGACCAGGCGAGTTGTCAGGAATGGAACTCGACAGGCCTGCCGAGAACAGTCAAGGAGCAGCGAGAACCTGCGCCGTTTAGAGATCAGTCACCACCTGATAGTGAAAGAGTCCGTCACGGGCGCCAGTCCAGATTCTCCCATCACGACGGTTGGGGGTTGGAAGTCCATGCAGCGACCAACAACCAACCTTTTCGATACCCGGACGCCATTGTTTATGTGTTTTGTTGTTGTTGTTGTGAGTGAGGTTTTGAGTGGCACTCGGCAAGCCGCCTTCCTGGTAATGAATGCATCACAACTGAATCATCACTCTTTTTGGTAGGGCATCGCCTGCAGGCAGCTACAGACATGCGTAATCATGCGCGTCCGGCAGCGCAGCGGGCCCGGGCCTTGGATGGACAAGGCACCAGACACACAGGACGACAGTTGGTCTTGCATCCCATCACAACCAAGGATCAGGTCGATAAGCTACACTACTAGCGTACCTAGTGAGTACAGGTAGTATCAGGGTGCTGCATCCATCCAGTACGGGGATTGATTCACAGGGTAACTCGCAGGGTAGGGGTCTCGCTTTCCCGGGGTATCACTGCTATGGTTTCCGGGGTTGTAGTGTACACTACTAGGTGCTGAGGGAGGTCTATCCGAAGACACTGGTCGTAGATACCTCCAACGAAACTTGGCCTGCTGCGAGACGGGGGGTTGCGTCAGAGAGGTATTCATTCCATTCCATGTACACTACACTACAGATGGCCTGCCTCCTTTGCTTCAGCACGAAACATCGGTTCTCCTTTTTGCTGCTATTGCCATTTGTCTTTGTTGAGAGTCATGGTTGCTCGCGTGGCCCATCTCCCGGCCACGTCTGCATGTTTTGGCTTTTCATCGTCTCGGGAAGCGTTTACCTGCAGCAACAACAAGCCACAGCATCTAGAAAGCAACAAATCATCGTTAGCACCGATGCCGGTCTCGCTGCTTTCTTGTGTCGAAGTGGCCATACTGTAGACGACGTTCCAGTGGAAGAAGACGATTAGGAGCTCCAGACCAACCATACCAACACCGCCACAACAGATGCTATTGGGAGATTTTGTCGTTTTTTCTAAACAGCCCGAGATAAGAGAGAACCCCAAGTAGGGGTAAGCTCAAGCATTTGATTTTATGCCTCCCCTTCTGTGTACCATGTGCAACGGACAAAGACGTTGACCGGGTCTGGGTGGCTATACTGTGTACACCTACTTGAACATTACTAACATTCTAGAAGCCTCAGCGGCCTGGACGGAACGATGTTGAAGGTTTAGATGCGGCTCCTTTTTCTGTTGTTGGTTGATCGACCTACTGCGTCCACCTAACATCCGTCAGCGTCAATAGGCCATTTGGTCAGGCCAATAGACGCCATCCCGTCGACCTGCTCTCAGATCAACAACATCTTGCCTGCATCGACAAGAGTACGAAAAAGATGCCCGGGATTTCGCATGCTCCCGTCATCAAGCAAGTATACATATGCATAGTACCTACCCTCACTGCCTCTACCTAGCAAGCGATCAAACCTCTTAGCCCCTCAAGCCCCTCTCCTCCATTCATCCTCCGTATCACATCCGATCCTAGGTCGGTCAGATTGCCAGCATTTGCCCATGCTCCCTTACACCGCTTCCGGCGGCCGGCGCATGTCTCCAGAGAAGGAAGCATCTCCCCAAGACTCCAGCCCCCCCACCCCCATCGGAGGAGGAAGACGTGAGCTCGTTAGCGCACCCCAGCTTTCTACACTTGCCACATTCACTGTTGCCATTCAGGAACCAGCACCGCAAGTGACTGTTGCCGCCTGCATCCAAGAGATTGCATGTCACTGTCACAACCGCGATGTCGGCGAATTGCCAAAGAACACGATGGCTCCCTCTAATACTGCGTACCCGACGGCGAGTGGATAGTGCTTGCCGTTCTTGATGCGTGGGGGGCTTGCTTGCTTCTCCCTGACTGCTGCTTGTTCGATGGAATCCTACCTGTCGTTTATGAAGGTGCAATTGTCCATGTTTTTGGCTACTCTCATGACTTTCCGAACCTGCATGGTGTTGGAAAGCAACACAATCAAGAGCCTAGACGCTTTCATGGTATTTTCTTCCGGGTCGTTAATTCCGGCGCGGAGCACGGAGAGAACTCGATGGCAGGGTGCCGCAGAGGTCCTCTTTATCGGTGCGCTCACCCACGTTACCACTTCATTTATAACACAAGAACCGTGTGGCTCTTTGGCTTGCATCGACAACGACACGTCGCGTGGCTTTTGTCTCACCATCTTGCTATGATTGGAATAGCTCCGTGACTTACAAACACCGCATGGTATTGCGTGAAAAACAAGATACTTTTCATGGCAAATCACCTCTTGTCGCGCACTTCTTGATCTCCAAGGTCCCCATCAACTCATCGTGCGAGACACGTCTTCTTTCGCCTCGTCACTTCAGCCTGACAAACCGTAACGACTAGATAGTTCGCCACAGCAAAACAATCGTAGCCGTTTTCTCCGACTTGCCCAATACTAGCCAACCCGCACATAGCGAGACCAGGGCAGCGGCATGCAACGCTTACTTTTCTTCTGACCCCTTGAAATACGGTGTGCATTGAGAGAGTTTGGATAGTATCACAGTCTGGCACTACTCAAACTGACCCAGATGGCTTTTACATCGATGAAGCAAAAAGACACAAATTGACGGCTTTGATTTAAACGCATTGCAATCAATGACTATTCCTACGACATATCGACGACCGCACGAATGCAGTCGCCCTGATGCATGACCTCAAAGGCCTCGTTGATCTCGGCCAGCTTCTTGCGGTGGGTGATCAACTCGTCAACCTTGATCTTGCCGTTGAGATAATCTTCGACAAGACCGGGCAGCTGAGAGCGGCCCTTGACGCCACCGAAGGCGGAACCCCTCCAGACACGGCCGGTGACCAGCATGAACGCTATAGGATGAACGTACGTTAGCATTATTGAGCATATTATGGCTAGCAGGGGAACGAGTTGACGCATAGAAGAACTTACGCCTAGTGGAAATCTCCTGGCCGGCAGCAGCAACACCGATGATGATGCTCTGACCCCAACCCTTGTGGCAAGCCTCGAGAGCAGCACGCATGACCTTAACGTTGCCTGTGCAGTCGAAGGTGTAGTCGCAACCACCGTCGGTCAGCTCGATTAACTTGTCGACAACAGACTGGCCCTCGGGGAGGGTGCTCGGGTTGACGAAGTCAGTGGCGCCGAACTTGCGAGACCACTCCTCCTTGCTGGGGTTGACATCGACAGCGATGATCTTGGAGGCGCCGTTGGCAACAGCACCCTGGATGACGCTGAGGCCGACGCAGCCGGCGCCGAAGATGGCGACAGTACTGCCCTTCTCGACGTTGGCGGTGATGGTGGCGGCGCCGTAGCCGGTGGTGATGCCGCAGCCGAGCAGGCAGGTGCGGTCCATGGGGGCCTCGGGCTGCACAGCGACGACCGAAATGTCGGCGACGACGGTGTACTGGCTGAAGGTGGAGGTGCCCATGAAGTGGAGGATGTCCTGACCACGGGCGCGGAAGCGGGAGGTGCCGTCGGGCATCACACCCCTGCCCTGGGTGGCGCGAATCTTGCCGCAGAGGTTGGTCTTGCCGGACTTGCAGAACTTGCACTCCTTGCACTCGGGGGTGTAGAGAGCGATGACGTGGTCGCCGGGCTTCACGTTGGTGACGCCCTCGCCGACGGACTCGACAATACCGGCACCCTCGTGTCCGAGAATGACGGGGAAGGCGCCCTCGGGATCCTTGCCCGAGAGGGTGTAGGCGTCTGCATATCACACCATGTCTTTGGTTAATGCGACTGCGAACTGCACGGAAGCCCAACCGAGCGAGCCATCAAGGTTCTTGGAGTGTGAGTGAACTCACCCGTGTGGCAGACACCGGTGTGCTTGATCTGAATTCTGACCTCGTGGGCCTTGGGCGGAGCCACCTCAACGTCCTCATAACTGAGCTCCTGGCCGGCGCCCCAGGCGATGGCAGCCTTGCAAGTGATGGTCTGCGGAAGATGGCAATCGGATCAGCACATGGTCCCTAATGACGCAAGCTCATCTCTCTCTCTGACGATGTGAAGCAAAGTCCTTCTGTCCTCCTAATCGCAACGCTGCTCTCCAAAGAATTGGAGCAAGCGTATATCGTGCAGGCAGCGGAGCTTGAGCTTCAGCTTGAGCTTCTTGGACGTTCTCTCTTACCTTTCCTACTGTGGATGCCATTGTGTCTGAATGGGATGAAATGTAAAATCCAAAATCAACACAGAGTTGAAATGAAGTTTGAAAATAGGTCGAGGCAATTTACATGGCGACAAGTCGACGTCTTTTGGAATGATGACAAAACGGGGCTTGTTTAGTTCCATCAACCGCAGCGCCGACCCCGCCTTCTAAAAGGTGGGGCACAGCCAGGTGGGCAGTTCCCTTCTGTACGGTGAAGGTACCGGTTAAAGGAGATCATCGATGGATCGGATCTCTGAGTGAGAGGAAGTGTTCTCTTGGCTTCCAGGCCTCTTTCCTTCTCGTACACTGCATACGAATACACCGCGTACAGTCAATTCGGTGACGAGGTAGCGCTAAAGGTCTCGGGAAGTGTTTTTCTCGCCTGGTTATCCGACATGGTTTTCGGTGATTTCACGGCATCTCGGGGATTCCTGCGGCTTTCTAAGCAACGTGTTTGAGTGCTTATCTAACTGGAGCCTATTAATCGGTGACGCTCCTGCTCAGCTATCTCGGATACGCAGTATATACCTTAACAACACCCCAAGTGCCTTATCGACTGGAAAAGCCTTATCAGCTCACCAACTCTCATTGACGGTCACTTGACAATTTCAGGGCATGATGTTGGATTCTCACCCATTTTGATATGTACATTCCTCCCAATCTCTTCCCCTCTACTGTTTGCAGCGAACTATGTATAGCGGGGTCTCATCCCGCCTTCCGTGAACTGCTCTGTGCACGCTAGCGCCTCACGTAGAGGCTTTGACAGATCGTCAGATATGTCTTCAGAATTACGTGATTGAAGATTTCGTCTCGCATGTACATCTAGCCTCAGGAAAACCCTCGTACCGCTCAACAGGTGCCAATGTGCCGGCCGCCTAGAGTCGAGCTTTCGGGTTTACATCTCTAGCGGCTGGAAATAAGTATTGAATTGTAGGAGCTGCTATGTCCGCCAATGTTACATTGTCGTCCGCAAAGTAATAGAATCACCGCAATAACCTCTGACCACGGCTGGACGTCAAAATTGTCTTCGAGGTACATTTCATCTTTCCCGGCTGCCGACCATGTGTGATGAGCTATTCCGAGTCCGCAGGTTACGGTCCACTAACTACCTACCCCTTATCAGAAGTGAGGTCGACGACAACAGTACGAAGTGATGACGGACTGGAATTGGTAGTGGCGATACATAATCCAGGTCCATACTGTGAGAAAACAATACTTGAGTCGGTGAATTGTTTAAGGCAGAGAAATAGCTGCGACTGGTATAGGCAATATAGTAATCTTAAATACAGGTCAACCCTCACCTCTCGTCGTCTATTTCCTTGTCGTTCAAACTTCGTTCTGTTAAGCCAAGGATTGTGCAGCCGCCCTGTGAAATTCGTTGCCTCCAGGCTCAATTACATGTGATGATACCGAAGCTTTGTCTCTCGCTATCCCCAGCGACTTCGCCTGATCATATTGTCTCTCGGCGTCAAAAGTGTCGAACCAAACAGTTCTCGACAGAACAGGCCCTGTTGAGCTTGTGAGAGTTGAAGACAGACGGTGACAAGCAACGTGGAGCATGTTGCTATGAAGACCACTTTCACCCCTAACCCTAGGTAGGTACTTAAGAGGCACAGTAGATCAGCAACACTGCAGTGTCACAACCAATGACAACACATCAGTAAGTAGTATCTCACATGGACTTCGCTAGTTCTAAATAATCCTCCACAAATTGAAGAAGGCAGAAACGACCACGAACTCATACCTTTCTAACCATATCATCGTGTTCCACTACCCACGTCCCAAAATGGTCATCCCCCCTCCTCCTTCCCCGCTCCCCGAGTTCGTGTACAAGATCACGCTCGAAGCCCCGCCCAGTCCGATTCCCGAGTCCTACCCACTGTCGGAGCTGGACCAGAAAGATGGATTTGTGCATCTGAGCACCTCGTGGCAGGTACGTTCTATCCTCTCCACTTCATTACATGAACGCGCTAATCCCAGCTTTCCAAAACCACAAAGATCCCAACAACAGCCGGCCTCTTCTTCCAAAATGAGCTCTCTTTCTACCTTATCAAGCTTCGCCTGGCCAACTTTGACCAGGCCAGCGTCAAGTGGGACGAGGTCGAGGAGACCAACGGGTGCCCGCACTTGTACGGCAACTTTGGGGCTAAGGATGTCGTCGACGTGAAGGAGTTCCGCCGTGAGGAGGGCGAGACGTGGGGTGAGGTGTTTGAGAAGGAGGAGGCTAAGGCTTGGTTGGTATGATGAGAGGGGGCATCGGAGAAGGGAAAATATAAGGGGGTAAAGGAGGAAGGAGAGAACAAAAAAAAAAAAAAAAAAAAAAACATTGAAAAGCGATGAGACGTTGAATTTCAACTGGACTTGTCTGTTCATTCATTCGTATGACGACCTATTTACCCTGAAAGTTTCCCCTCTGGCTATCTTTATATAAAACAAATGCCTTTTTAACAGTGCATCCCGACATCATCTCTCCAACTTAATCCTTGCCATTCCATCCTCCACTTTGACTCTACCGCCGTGTTCCGTTTTCACATAACCGTCTTCCTCCTCCTCGCCTTCATCAGCAGCCTCCCTCTTCACCCTCACAGGTTCTTGCTGCCTTTCGACAGTTTCACTCTTGACGACTGGCTCGTCGACTTCCTCGTCCTCACCTTGCTCATCCTCAGCCTCCTGTTTCAACTGCCCAACCTCTCGCTTGACAATGGTTGGGCCATTTTGGCCCTCCCGTCCCTCAGGGTCACCGAGGTTAGGTTCTTGCTTTACCATCGTGCGTTCCAGCAGTGGCTCCCTCTTAACTAAACGTGTCCGCGCCTGGTGGCCCTCCGCGTCCTCATTGTTGAGGTTCGGCTCCGGCTTGACAATCGTAGCTCCATTGAAGGATTCTCTCTTCACAGTGCTTGAGCGATGGTTTTCTTCTTCGGTTTGCTCTGGGATACATGACTCCTGTTTCACTCTCGGATGCTCGGGCTTTACAGCTTGTTGTTGAAGGTCGTCTGCTTTCTCCTCGTCGAAACCAGGCTCCTGCTTAACGGTCGCCAAGTCCCGTCCGGGTTCTCTCTTCATGATGCGACGTCGATGTGCCGATTCCACCTGCTCGCCGTGGATGTTTGACTCCTGCTTGATGCGTACGTGTTCTCTTTTGACGATGTGCGGGAGCCGGTTCTCTTCTTCTTCCCCAGCGCCCATGTCATGAACACTCTGTTCCTGCTTTACCCTAAGAACTTCTTCCTTGACAACAGATGTTTGGTCAGCCTCTTCACTGTCCTCTTCCGCGTCGGCTAACCTCTCGCGCTTCACCCTCATACCTTCTTGCTTGATGATGGGCGGGCTGTGTTCAATGGTCGACTGAACCTCATCGGCGTCTTCCATCTCAACATCCTCAATGCTTTCCATCTTCACAGCGTCATCCGCAACAGCTTCCTGAGTCACCGGCAGTACAGGCTCGTTGACCACAACATCCCTGACCCTGGCTTCCTCCTCTTCTTTGATCTCAATTCTTGCCTCTCTCTTTTCCCTCTTGACTACCATGTCCCGCTCGTCTTCCTCGTTGTCACCCTCCTCTTTCGGCTCTCTCTTGAATCTCACAACCTCGGTCTCCACCTCCGCCTTCTCCTTAACAACCGCCCTCCTCTTTCTACCCTCAATAACCTTTTTTCTCTCCGCAGCTTTACACAACCCCCTTAGGCCCAGCTCGCAATCACCGCATTTCCTCCCCACGGGAAGACATATCGACTGTCCGAACCCAACCAGCAGCCAGTTAATCTCCTTCCACTTGTCACGGGGCAGCCACGACTGCAGCGCAAGGCGAGTCTCCTCGGGGGTTTTAGTGGGCGGATTCTGCCAGCCCCAGAGGTTGGTGATGCGGTGGACGTGGACGTCCACACCGATGCCTTCGACACGGTTCCAGCCGTTGTCGGCGGACATGCAAAGATGCGCCATCTTGGGCCCAACGCCGGGAAGGGACATGAGACCTTCGATGGTGTCGGGAATGTCGGAGTTGTATCGGTCGCGGAGGATTTCGGCGGCTTGTTTGAGGTATCTATCACAGTAGCTCATAAGTATATGGACCCTTGATGTGAACAAGAGGACAGTACGTACCTAGTCTTGTTGTTATGGAAGCCAACCTTGCCAATCAACTCGTTCAAAACGGCTGGCTCAACAGCCAGCATATTCTCTAGGTTCAGGCCCGGCTCCGCGCCCTCGGCGTGGGGAGGCAGCTCCTTCTTCAACCGCAACATCGCCTCCGCGTTGACCGTGTCTTTGGTCTGGCTTGACAACATCAGGGCAACAAGAGTGTGAAATCGCCGATCGCGTGCTGATGCGTTATTGCTGGCCAAGCGCTCGCATCCCATCGAGTCGACGGCGGCGTTGGCGGCGGGACCGGAGATGCGCATCTCCTTGACGAGGTTATAAACCTCCTCCCACCCAGAAGGAGGCTCGACTTTCACTTCGCCGGTGACGGCGTCGGTCGTCTTGCGGGCGGGTTTGCGAGCGGTTCGTTTTCTGCTGGATGTAGTAGATGTGCCCGCGACCGGGATATCGTTTATGTCGATCTCCGAATCCGACTTCACTTCGGCTTCTACGGTTTGGTTGATAATTCGCGTGCTCCTCCGTTCGGTTTTGATCCTCGTTGGGGCAGGCAATGATTCCTCCTTCTTCAGCACTGTTGTGGTGGTTGTGGTGGTAATGCGCTTCCGTTTTCGCGTGCCAATTGGGTCTCTGCGCTTCCCCTTTGGTGATGACAAGCCACTGGACTTGACAGCGTCTTCTATGTCCGATCCAAAGGTAACTCCGGTTTCGTCTTCCTCATGGTCTTCCTCGAGCTTCGTGGCGCGCAATGGCGAGGATCGTAAGTCAACCGGCGCAGAGCTCGAGCTGGCATTCGCATTCGCATTGTTCGCTTCATAGGCAAATCGAGCAAGAGTGCTCAGACGCGTTGAGCGACGTGGTGTTGCTGGCGTTGCCATGGCGGCTGTTGTTCCCTCGAACAACCTCGATGTCTCCTTGGCTATGCGCGACGCCCTCATCGGTTGATCGATGACCGTGATTGAACGATGAGGAGGCTTTGCCTGTTCGTCTGAAATTATCTGCTGCTTTGCGCGGCCATGGTTGGATAATTCAACTGTTTGGATGCGTGTAGCCTGGGGGAGACGCGTGCACCTTTATGGCTAGCTTGTATTGAATGGCAGACTGGAATCAGATGAAACGCCGAAACAGGAAGCTCGAGCCATAAAGTACATACTGTGTAAACTCGAAGAGCAAATAAAATAAGTACTGTGGATCCTCGCCTGCTATACGTAGTACATACTACGCAGTACACTACGTAGTGCTGATTCGGCCAGACAGGGCACCAGGTTCATTTGGGATGCTAACTGATATCATTTCAATGTTTACACCATGGGCTGTTTCTCATCAAACGTGCGGACTTGAAAGTAACTTTGATTCTGGGATCGCTACGAGTGTGTGAGATATCCTGTCGCCAGTCTAAGAACAGGCCACGCACATCTTCCTTCTCCTTGTCTAAAGGCCAGTCTGAAAAAAAAGAAAAAGAAAAAGCATGATGAACATACTTTTATAAATAAATGTTTCGTGAATGATGAAGAAACGCTGCCTCAGAACGCCGCGCCATCCAGGCCGAAGATGACCTTTTCCAAAAGTCTAACTAAAGAGTCAAAAAGGGACTCAAACAACGCTCGCTTCAAATCAGGAACTCCTCGTTCACCCAGTGGCTGAGCACTACCTTGCCCTCTTCAAACGTAGGCTTTTCCATCCGCATAATGATGGCAGCATGACTGTGTCGATCATTGTGAATCCAAACAGGATACTTACGCCAGCCCAGTGCATCCAAGGCGTTGATGGCAGCAAACTGATATGGCGCCAGAGCAAGCGTGGGCTGATGTGGGTGTGACTGTTTGCGCTCGAGCGCCAGAATCTCCTGGTTGGAGGAATCGTCCGTCTCTTCGTCGAGATCGCCATCGGACAGTCCAAGATACTCCTGGTTCTGAGAGCTGTTTAAGTCTTCATACGCAAGTTCAACAGCTTCGCGCATCTCCTTGATCCATAGGTCCACCCGGTAACTCTCAACGTCGATTCCCGCCAGGCCCTTTTCGTGTAACTTCACTCTCTTGGAGCTTCGCACCGTTTGGACCGCCGAATTGATAAAGAAAGCGACCAATCCCAACGGGACAAAAACCGCTACGGCCAGGATAAAGGGCACCCTGTTTATCCATTTCTTCAGGTTGGCAACAAGCGGTTCCTTCGGCTTGGGTGGCGCGGGGGATACGGGGTTTGTCGGATCTAGAATAACAGGCTCGTACCCCTTGACGTAATTGACTTTCACCTTGTCCAGATCGGTGTAAGGGTCCGTTTTCGCTATGCCGGTGGTGTAGTAGACGGCAGACCTGTCGTTCACGATATTTGTATAGAGGATTCGACGCTTGAACTTGGCAAGACCGCACATGAAAATAGATTTCGGATCCGCCAGAACCGCGAGAAGGGGCTTTCCCGTGTCACGGAACTGATCAATACCGAAAAGTTGTCTGCCTGACATGCACAGGGTACGCGCACCTAGTACGTTCCATACGTGGTTTGGCCAACCGCGAAGAGGAGTGCGCACCCCCAGAAATGGGCTAGCAAATGCCGTGAATGTCTAGCGCAAGCATGTTAGCTCAATGTCTTGTTCTTTTTTTTTTCAAATTTTTTTTTTCTTTTTTTTTTTTTTTTTTTTTTTTTTTCTTTCGTTCGGGAAGTCCATACCATGCACTCGAGGTTGTCCAGCACACCTCGCGCATAAAGAAGGCCGATCGCATAACGGGCCACCAGGCCGCCGAGGGAGTAGCCAGCGATGCTGATCTTCTTGATTTTTCCACCTTCGCTTTCGACAGCTTGGAGTTCCTCTTCGATCTCGTTACATACTCGTTCGCCGCCGAGCTCGATGCCATCGTAAGTGAACGATCCGGCGTTTCGCTTCGCTACGAGGATGTTCAACTTGTCGCGTGGATACTGAGCTCGCAAAGCCTTCGCTACAGACGCCATATGGTTCGGATTACCCCATAGCTAGTGTTCAGGTTGCGGGTCAGAGTTGGTGGTTCTGCAAAGTGCCACATGGTTTCGGCGATCATTGCGCCATGCACGAGCACAGCATGGACAGGAGCGTAGGGTAACAGGACTTACACCATGTACCAAGACGCAGAGGTGGTCGGCCTCAACGTCACCACCGATATAATCCGCCATGGTTCGTTTGTGGTCAGCGATCAGAGACCAGTAGATACCTAGATCGAAAAGAGGGAGAATGCTAACAGTTTGGTGGTAGTTGTTGTGGTGCGTTACCAAAGCAATTTATTTAAAGGTCGCCTTTGCAGGGAGGGAGCTTGGCGGTGGGTTATCAAGGTGGGCAGCGTTACGGCGTGAATAGCGCAACCCCCTGAACAACAACCCAACAACCCGGAAATGTCCCTGCAAAGCCGATGGATAGTCTGGATGACGCTTTGGGCTGGTTGGTTGCCCGGCGCGGACAGATCGGACGCCGTCCCAAAACAGCCCGCCTGGATGCGATGCTGCCACGGGATGAGTGGGGGGGGGGGGGGGGGGGGGGGGGGGGCTGATACGGTAGGGCGCTGTGTTAGGCCCAAGCACTGCCCGCCCGGACAGCACTAATGAAACGTCCTGGAAGAGAGATTGCTTGTCAACCAAAAGCTCATCAAACTGGAAAACGGGAATCAAGATGCGCCCGCTCGATGTTCATTCGGACGTCACGAGCAACCGCGGGCTCAGCTGTCCAGGTGGCGAATCATAAGCCCTTATCACGCGGCGCGGCGGCCGCGGAGCATTCTCATGGGCCGCAAAGACCCTAAAGTCCGCGTCCGAGCTCACCTCTCATGCTGTTTCATGGCATGGCGCTGTTTGGTTGGGAGATTTGTCGGTTATCTATGCAGGCGCAGCAACCGCAGTTCGTTCTCATTCTCGAACGCCGCGTCCGGCCACACGACCGTATGCCTGGAGAGATGACGACAGTGAGGTCGGTACATGGACGACCAGCGCAACTACACTAGAGGTGCCCCCTTCTCATCATCGGCGAGCTCATGTGCCTCTACCTAGAATAGGGACTGAACCCGGTGGGGTTTTGCGATCCATACGACCCTGTACCTTATATCCGACCGCGGGAATATTCCTGAAGGCCATGGCCGCTAGAGCTGTCTCCTGACAGACCCGGGGTTCGACGAGTCTTTCGACAACCATACACGAAGCAGAAACATGCAAATGGCAACTCGAAGCCGGAGAAGTAGAGGTAGGGCGGACTCTTTGTCTTTGGAGCCAGAGCCCAGGGAAGCCCGAGTGACCAGGCATTCTCGAAATGAAAGTTGGATCCGATCTCGTGGCTCCTTTCTCTTCCCTTTTTTATTGAATGTTTTTTTTTTCTCTCTTTTTTTTTCCCCTGAACATCGAAGCAAGCTTCGATGCTCTCGAGATCGTGATGAGGCCGCAACGGCTGCTTTTAAAGCGCATTCAACATCTCCACAATGTGAATCTGGTAAATCATGAAACATGTGCTCTATGATAGTGACGGAGATGCATAGCGCATGCAACCTCAAACTTCACTTGGTGGGTGTTAGGAATTAGGATGGCCATGATACGAGATAACTACGTTGGCGTTCACTGGAGACTGGGAACTTGCCAAGCAGATCGAAATAAGGTTTTGTTGGTTCCGAGGAAGGATAAAGTAAAACATCCATTGAGATACCACGGAACCGCTCCTGTAGAATACCTCTCCCGCTTGGACGAGAAAGCTACCGACCTGAAACAAACATCCCAAGCGTCCCGGAATCGACCTCACATCGGCAATCTAGCCTGTCCGAGAAACAACATCTACATCTACTGATCATGAAATAGAAGGCAAAAGTCAAAACCCCACCCCCATTAATCATTACCTCGTCTCCCCAAATGCCACCACTTGTTCATCAGCCACGCTTTATTCATACCACCGTCGTAGGCTCTTCCTTATCATGCTTCCTCTTTCCCTTCGTTGCCAACCTTGGCCAATAAACCCAAATAAACATAACCGCCAAGATCTGCAGCATGAACGCATTTACATGCATCTGGACATTCTTCAATTCTCCTCCCCTGTTTGGACCTGACCCTACTTGCTCCTTCCCTTTCTCTGACCACCTCTCACAAACCTCCAAAAACAACTTTGGATCATCCGTGATGACACCATCCACCCCTTTACGTATCCCCCATTCCATCCACCGTTCCTCGTTAACCGTCCATATGTAGAGCTTCCGTTGCGCCTTGCGGATCTTGCTGATGAAGCGGGCGCCGATGGGACCGACGAGCATGTGCTGCATGAGGTTAAAGTCGACGTTGGAGTGGGCTTCGGAGAGGAAACGGGAGGCGTAAGGGAGGGAGAAGCCGATGTAGGCGAATCGGTAGGAGGGGAAGTAGGATTTGGCTACGTTGATGTAATTTTCCTTTATTTTTAAAGGGGTATGAGTAAGTGAGACGCAGGAAAAGAAAAGATTGACGATGAGCGAAAATTATCACATACATTCCAGCAACCGAGGACTACTCTCTCATTCCAGGCTCGTGTCGTTGGCACAGATTCAATCGTTTTGACTGTGGTGCTCAGTAAGACGTCCGGATCGTCGTCGATCTTGACCATGATATCTCAGCATAATTCGGATTCACGTTGAGAAGAAGAAGACCGCCAAACTCACTTTGATATCCAACAACACCCACACCGACTCTAAACCAGGTTGCCCTAGATACTCTAGCAGATCTTGCAACCTCGGGATTGATTGCTGTGGCTCCCTTATAGTCCTCAACGTACTCAAGTAGTCCCAGTCACACTCCGAAACCTTTTTGTCTATGCCAAAACATCGTTTGAGGGACGGATCCTGTTGAACACACGTGCGTTAACACGGATGTCCTCACAACTTTACGTACTGAGGATGTAGGTGAAGGGAAACGAGATAAAGAAAAGGACGTTAGAAAACATACATGTACAAGTACGACAACCCCATCTTTGGTCAAGTGCAAATCAGTCTCGATCGCATGTGCACCGACGTCCACAGCTCCTTGGAAAGCTCCCATGGAATTCTCGGGGAAAGCGGCTTTATACCCACGATGCGCGATCGCTTGGGGAAGCCGTGGCCCCGCAGGTTTCTGTCCATTGCCGTTGGCTGTACTGGTGTTTGATCCGGAATTGGAAGGGGTGCGAGTAAGAGGTTCTAGATGGGCGAGAGATAGGTGGTTAGCTTCGGGTTGTTGGTAGAAACTTGGTGCTCGAAACATGGCGAGATCGATGTTTACCTGTTGCCTGTGGGGCTTCTTCCCCTGAATGTGTCTGTAAGTGCGACATGTCCTGGCGACCAAACCGTTCAGGACCTTCCGACTAACAACGCTCGTTGCAAATGTTTGATCAAGTTCGCTCTTCACGGTATGGTTGTACTGAAAGTCGATCGTGGGAAGACGGGTTAAATGGCAAAACTAAGGGGTTCAAAGGTAAGATGTGGTTGGAAGGTTACCCCAAGAGAAGATCTGCCCTGAGTAGAGGTAGTATCGTTATTCACACCTCAGCCACTTTTACCAAACCAGCGGCAGGCAGGCAAGCGGCAACTCGTAGCCCTGGATCGACCCTACACTAACAGGCTTGGAATGGTGATCCTCGAAATTTTTACTGTGTAGGTTGAAACTCAGACACGACCTGGACAGTTCATCGGAAACTTGGACCACTGAGGTGATGGAAATACTCTTGATTAGTAAAACTGTATGAAATTGTGAATGTTATGTTGTTGTGTTGTCCATTGTTATCCGCATGGACCCCTTCAGGACAATTGTTAGTGTCCTTGGCTCGATGAGCCGTCAGAGTGTAGGAGGTTTGGAGACGACCCTGCAGATCTTCGGTCGTCGGACACTTGAACCCGGGCCGGCCCTTACCGTGTCCGAGCGTTCGGTATGTTCTTAAGCACGCGTACCTGTTCCAGACTTTCAGGCCGGCCGGTAGGCATCGTTGCGGCCGGGCTACTCTTGAGGCCGTAAGCGGACAGAAACGGCAAGTAGTGTAATGCATGCAAAGTGGAAAGAAGGGACATGCGCCCAGGTGGTCCCCTGGCCGCACTTCCCACACTATCGGTGTGATCCTGATCAAAAGCCATGGCCACTTCGTCAATCATAGGTAGGTATGTCTTTTCGACACGCGAAGATACATAATTCTTCTCTATCGTAGAGGGAGGAGTGCATAGTGTACTTCATACAGGGCGGCAAGAAGTCGGGATTCCAGGCAATTGCAGCAATGCGTGGAACCTCCTGTGAAAGTGGCACCAGGCATGACATCACGCCGTGGAGTCTGCATGTGTATCCCCAGGGCTCCAGCAACTCTTGTTCACTTCGAAAAGGCTCCTTCTCCGCTCTCATCGTTGACACCTTTGACAAGCTCGCTTTTTCGAGCTCCGTTCCCGTTCCGTTCCAGGGGTTGACTCCATTCGACACACTGGACTTAGTGTAGTCAACAAAACAACTTGAAGAGAACAGACATGGCTCCTCTTTTCCTTATCTCTATGTGGTGTACGCCGGCAGTACACTAGACTCCACCTGTCTCTCAGTTGCGGAAGGCCGGGAGCTTGAAACATGACAAGTCGCAAGAAGCCCTGTTCCTGGCACGGCGCCGGCGGGCGAGGCGGATACTGCCAACGAGACTCGTATTGCCACCTTTTTCTGTCGTCGATATGCTTGATAAGCATGGCAGTCACTGCAGAGACAGGCCGTACTTCGTGCTATTGTACGGTGAGGGTCGACTGAATTCCACGTTCATTGAGGTGTACTCCGTAGTCCGCTGTCCGAAGTCCGCTGCCCGGCGCCGGCTTACACTACAACTCTGCCGGTCCTGGCGATCAAAAAGGCTTGTTTTGTTATGCAGATGTTCAGGGGTTTATGGTAAGGGCGACATGACGCGAGGCGGCAAGCGAAGCAAGATTCCGCCTGGCCTTTTTTACCCTTTTTCCTAGAAAATAGAATACAAAATTGGAAAAACAAAAATAAAATAATTAAATGATCCCTTGAACTTGACTAGAGATGGACTGTGGCCATGTCGCAAGTCGTCGTTATCAAACCTTCAGCAATACAGTAATCTGGATATCGAAAATGAAGAGCCTAGTATTGCCGTCGGTACGCCTATCCTGTCCCCCAGATAATGGGAGGGCCTCATGTTTCACTTCAGGCTAAAGGCGCGCGCGCGCATCAGAAGGCATTACCCGTCTTCTGGGGTACTCTACACACGTGTGAAACGGGCGGGAAGAATCCATGGCATGGTAGTAACGACCGGACGGTTGTAGCAAGTCGAGAACGGGTTTGATAGGGCTCGGATGTCACGTCAAATGCGACTTGGTCTGTAATATCTTTGCATTCTACCAGTAATATAACTGGGAAAGGGTGAGAATGGCAAGTATCTCGTATCAGATAGCGACTATGATCATCCTTGCCTGTCAATATCGCGTGTGCTTGGTACTCAGGTAACATCTGAAGCATCCCGCTCAACAGCTAAAGAGCTGCATAAACAAACAGCGGGAAAAAGGACTGTCCATAGGAGTGTGAAAGCACATGATGACGATAATCCCTTACTTACTCGCCACCCCTGCTCTAGGCTCGCTGCAACACTCGCGGCTGCTCTCAAAGCCGTCGTCCGCTCGATACACTATCTGACCTCGGTTGATTTCCTCTCTGTCATGTAACCTGGCAAATTTGAAGCACTCCCAGAAACTCCACCCTTGGCCAACATATCCAAATGGAAGAAATAGTTTTCCCGGCCTGTACCCAGTCATAACCAAAAAGTATCGTGAGAACCCGCGCCCACCAATTCCAAGAAATATTCCTATTGTCCACCAATGTCGTTAGAGTCCATACCCATGTAATCCATCCAAAAGAAAGTTGTTTGTGCCCGCTGACGTCACGGGCAATAGCGTGTTGCGGTAATCCATATTTCCGTTGTTCAAACCCATGTCACCGGACGGAACATCATCGCAAGAAGAAATACTTTCTTCACTCAAACTGAGAACGCTCTGTGCTGTTGGAGCGCCTGGTACAAAGTCACCAAGATTAAACGATGACATATCCCATGGATCTTGCCCCCATGCCGTGGCTGACGAAGGTGTAGCAGACGCAGGTGTCTCCAAGGGTGCCAAAGCTGGACCCCCGTAAATTGCAGTATACAGACTGACCGGGCCACCATCCAACGATCTTACCAGTGCTTCCCACTCAGCTGTCGACATGCCGGTTGATGTCTTCTGCGGGAACATTTGGCCTTGCTGAGAGTGAGAGGATGCTATGGAAGAGCGTTGGTGTTGTTGTTGTTGTGGTGGTGGTGGTGGTGGTGGTGGTTGTTGTTGTTGTTGCTGGGGCTGATGAGGTTGACTGCGCATCTGTACCGGGGAAACGGGTGACTGAGGTGAACTTAATGAAAGATAATCCAAGTTTGGGGTCGACTGTGTGCCAGTCGATGTACGTCCCATAAGCGCAGCTTGGGCGACTTGGGCATGACTCAGAGAGTGGCGATGATGAGGTCGCATTTGTTGCGCTTTTTGCCGTAAGCTATCGAATGACGTTTGAGAACGGGCGCGATTTAGTTCATTTTTGTGCTGTTGTTGAAGTTGCTGATGTTGATACTGTTGGTGCTGAGGAGTCACAGCCATCCCAAGTAGCTTGTCCCGCTGCATGATGAGATCTGTCTCGCTCAAGCTAGCGCTAGAGTGACGAGCAAGGGTTGGTTGAGCACCGCGATCAACAGCTGGAGGTGAAGGAGATCCTTGCTGCGCCGGTGGTGTGGGCATACACGCCTCTGGAGACTGTCTCGGGGGTGTCGGCAAGGACTGGGGAAGCGATTCCTCGACGGTAACCAGCATTCCAGCGATCCTCTTGAAATCGTACGATCCTGGAGCGTTCACCTTGGTAACGATCTTGACAACGCCGTTGACCAGTTTCTCGTTATCCTTCAACACTTTGCTGTCGTGCTTGAGTCCCAGTGTCTGGTACAGCAACGCCATACCGCAGACGATCAAGATGTCTGCCTTATTCAGGCAGAAAGAGAAGGACATGGACCTCTCTTCCAGCAGTTGAACTATTTGCACAATGCTCTTACTGGACTCGGCAACAGACATGAGTGCAGGAGCAGCCTTCGGGCCCAGGCTAGATGCAATAGCCGGCCGATAGATAAGGATTCGAGTATAATAATAGGCGAGGGCAAGAAGAGGAGACCTGCTGCCTGTCACATCGGTCGAGGGCTTGTCCTGCTTGAAGTTGAGCTTCAAGTGCTGCGGTAGGTTCTCAAACCACTCGGTGAGTTCTCCCTCAAGTGATGACATCTGCTGTAGCGACAGCTCGTACGAAGTGGCAGCCGGGTAGATCTTCTCAAGGACCTTGCCCAGGATCCGGGATCCTCGGAACAAGGCAAGTGCGCTGGAGATCCTGGTAGGTTCGCCGGGAAGGCTTGGCTGAAATCCCTTTTCTGTGACATATTCGTCGTCGGTGTCTGATGGGAACTCGGCGTGGACGTCTTCATCCTTGAGAAGCTTTGGGAGACCAAGGATAGCGGCAGAAAAGCTAGATCTGTTAGAAATTATCCATGCCTTGTGTGAACGAGTGCACTTACCAGTCAAGTGTGTACAGAGTCCAGAACACCTTCTTTCGTGTCTCGATAGTCAGGGCACCGAATGAGAAGCGCTTCTGGCTTTGATGTAAACCTAAGCGGTGAGAAAGTCCCACAGCAATGCCCTTGTAGTATTGCAGCCGCTTATAGTCGGCCCGGACAGTGCAGTACATCAAAGCAAGGATGAGGCATTGGAGAGTAAGCATGGTGTTGTCCATCAAGACAGCCTCCAAAGACTTGTGCCATTGTGTCTCGCAAGCGGCCAGCTGCTGAAAGTCAGGCTGCTCACTGGACAGGCCGGCAATGCTAAAGACCAAGTAAAGCTGTGTGAGCTTGTGGTTGTTCTTGATCTTTTCAGGATCCGCGACGAATTCCTCGTAGACACGAAGGAAAGCGGGCTTGTGGAGAACCGGAAATAATGGCGCCCATTCTTGGAAGTAAACATTCACGCAGCGATCAGAAAACAGCCGAGGCGGTATCCTCATACTCTGAGGGGCCAGCTTTGTCGAAAGAGGATAACATCCCTGAATGTGCAAGAAGGCCTCTGGGTTGAAGTCGGTGCAGGACTTGCCGTTCTCTTGGATTTTACGCTTGAATGTTTCTGGATACGTAGTCAGTCATCAAGAATGCGGATCTTTCGGGAGTTGCTGGGGTGAGTGGGGAGACATACCGATAAAAGAGCGGCCACTGGAAGCGCCCATGAAGTAGGAGTCGGAATTCTCGACACCGAGCAACAAGGGCGATGCTTGGACGCGGAAAGTATCCTCTTTTGCCGGTGTGCCGGAATCCCTCTTTATCTCTGCTGCCGGAGTGCTTCGAGGTGGCTCGGCAGATCGGCTGCGATTGCTGTGCATCTTGGAAAGCATATCGAGCTTCTCGTCCTTCTCATCCAGCAAGTCCTTGAGTTCCCGGATTTCCGCCTCCAACGCTCGTACTCGCTCCTCGAGCGATTCTGTGTAGCCTCTGGGGAAAGCGCGCCTACTGAGCTTATCGCTAGTCTTGCACTCGAACCCAACATTGGCGCATTGCGAACAACACGGTCGGATCCCGTCGCAGCGGATTTTTTTGCTGCGGCAGCGGTCGCAAGCCTGAGCGATACGACTTTGTGAGCTGTTGCCCACCTTGATAACTTTCATGGGTAGAATGCCGGGCATTTTGGGCGCCTTTCACGCGGCCGGGATAATCCCGTGCCTGTCGATAGTCGATGATGTCGGTAATCAAGTTGTGGGTAAAACGGGCAAGTGCTTGTGTCGAGGACGAAACCCAAGGTTGTCGATACAGCACCAGATCGTGGAATATAACCCGTCTTGGATCGTCACAAAAGTCAATGCCGAGGTTGATATGGTCGAAGAGAGTAGTGGTGAAGAAAAGGCAATTGGCGTATATGGTATTGACACGTTCCCACTGGTGTCTGTTCTTGACTTTGATTTGGTCGTAATCCACAGGCGAAGTTAAAGTTGAGGCGGTAGATGACTGCTTGTGTGGTGATGGATGTGGCAATGGTGGTGTAAGTCAAGGAGCTAAAGGTGAAAAATCTAAGACAGAAGCAAGCCAAGATCTCCAAATCCTTCAAAAGTCGAGTCGGTCCAGTGAAAAGGGGGGGGGGGGAGGGGGGGATTTGGAGAGCACGACAGGCGGGGCGGCGTGATTTAAGGATGAATTCCGTGGGAAGGAGCATACGGGGTACATTGGTGAGTTGCTGTGAGCCAAGAGGGACGGAACCAGGGGGACAGGACTGGCTAGCGGGCCAGCGAGAAGCGTAGCACTGCGTGGCAGCGAGGCAGCGAGGGCGCGAGGAGGGTTGATGCCACGCTGAGGGGAAAAGCGGGCGGGAAGGAGTCCCTGGTCGTCCGTGGGGTATGTACTTGTACTCGGTACGGTACCGTTGCCTTTCTGTTGATCGGTGAGAACAGTCACCTCAACACTTTAGTCGAGACGTACCCGATTCTTACCATGCCATTACGAGATCTCTCTAATTCTATTTGCACAGCAACCTACAGTACCGACGTCGCAAGTACACAACGAAGATCCTCTAAAGTTGGAACCTCGAGGGTCACGACAAGGGCGGACGTGAACGTCGGGACGCTATCGTCCGTGACAGCATCTTGACGTTTGAGCTGCTGCCTCGACGCCGTATTTCTGCTAAGCCTCAGAAGATCAACAGAGAGTCCCAGTGTGAGACTGCAGGGTGGACAAGGCAACGGACGGTGTGGAAGTGAGGACGACTGCGCTACTGCGTAGCGATTGGGGCATGTCCATTGAGCGGAGCACCTTGACCCTGCTTACCTTTTGGGTTTATCGACTCCATTTGATTGCCATCCCCTGGCCAAAGAAGAATCTGGGGTGAACAGGGATTTACTCGTCAAATCCAATGTACTGCGTATTGTAATGGATTTGCCAATCATCATGGCCGTTGTGAGCGAGAATCCACGGCATCCACTAGCCCCATCATCCGGTCCAGCCGACGAATCGCAGCGCTCCTGTAGCGGTCGCGAGGGACCCACCGGCTTCTATTTCTACACAGCAGCACACCTCCACCTGGCTCTCAAAGAGGGTTGTGGTCGGATTTTCAAGCGAGATCCGGGGCACCTCGGCACCTCCTGGCATGAATGGGGCCACAGGGCTACCGTCAAGGGACGCCATTGTTTTTTGTGTTTGTTGGGACGGCGACGTGCGAGGGCTGGCGGGCGTTTTTGATGGCATCATGGCTGGCCTAGACCCTGTTGTCTTAAGCTGCATGGATCGTCAGGTCATGGCAGTTGTTGGAAGTAGCCACTAACGAGAACACTGACCTGCTTACGACCTAGAGACTAGCGAGGCCAAGTTCAAGATCATCCCGATCGGGCTGGGCATCAAGCAGTTTTGCTTACCGAAACCCTGAGCGAAATTGAAAGCTGCACCGTCATACGGCCTCTGCTGCGATACCACGGGACGATACCCTTCGTGGTTAGGACTCTCAGGAACCAGCCGGGGACCTCGCCGAACAGCCTCCTCTTTGAGTTGCGGCTTCGGTCGAGAACCCATTTTGTACATACATGGGCACCGATGGCTCGGATTAGGGATTAACCTCTTCGAGGCCAAGCGAGACTTGGTCCATGGTCCGCGTGACGCTGGATGGGGGCATTGAAACCTTAAAGAGACAGGGAACTCCTCGTGAATAGGATCATGACAACCATGGTATTCATGTCTTGGGATCAGCAGCCCTCTTCACCTTGCATAGTCGAGGACATTGTAGTTTGGCAAAGATATTCCAATGTTGAAACCATAATATGTAATACTAGGGACTAGACGGCCAACTAGCAGTGTCCGTTGTCTTGGGTGTCAATGTGTGAGGCGGAAGAGGCGCGCATGTACCTACGCAGTATTGAGCATCGAAAGGAGCGTTTCGGATTGGCTCCGGGACGTTGAATGGTTTCCACACCGTCACCCAACCCAGATTCTCATAACTTGAGACTAGTCATTTGACTTCCACGCGCAACACAAAGCCTCTTTCCTGCAGATACTTCCATATCAAAAAGCACCGAATGTACGGTGTATTAACGGACCTCGAAATAAACACCTTCTGGAGACATGAACAGCCTACTCCACTAAAAGGGGTCGCTGACGACGACGTGGACGTTTTGCGATCAATTCAAACTGCCCAGGGCTGGCCCACCGATGGATCGTCAAGTGTGCTGGGTCAACTACGGTAACAGGGCCATTGGAACACACACCAGTCATAACGGAAACCAAAGAAATTTCGGTGAGCCATAACTATGGTCAGAAAATATGGAGAAAAGTGTCCGATCTTCGACGGTCACCGGTCTGCGTGGTGGTGGTTCACTTCGCTCTTATAAAAGACGCGAGCGATGATGCATTAGGGGAAACCTAGGTACCGATGTACACAGTACTTACATGTATGTACGTGTTACAGTACGCTCTGTATGGCCGTCACAGTTGCACACGACGGAACCTCCAAAGGATAAAACAGTGCTGTGAGATGGGGCCGGCCGCCTCCACACAGTAAATAGAGGTAAAAACACGACCTGGAACGGCGGGGCCGTACCGCATAGCATAGTCCAATAATTCCATCTCTGATTGGTTGAATGCTGCAGCAGGATCAATTTGTTCCACCAACCTTCCGTCTCTTCACAACCAAATCTGGAGTTGGTCTTCCCCGCATTTTGGTTGGGCAATGCCAAGAACGAACTCCAAGCGACGGGTTCCTCTCCTTTTCGCTCTCGATCGGGCAGTATATATCACCACTTTGATGAGTCGAACTCGGGCGAATCCAAGCAAACAACGAATCTCAAAGGATGAACCATGGTAGTCCGTCGTTTCGTGGCCTTAGTAATTCTCGACAACCAGATCTCGGATTTACTCTATGTCGCCCATACACCGTCCGCAAGTTGGCAGAAACTCCGACCAGAGATCTTGCAGCATAGACAGTAAAACTAAGCTCACGAGCATCACCACCCAATCAGCGCAGTCACATCGCTGGCCAGAGCCCCGGTAACATATCAAGCTGCTCTCCCACTCATCGCCGAAATGCGGGGCAATATGAGATTGTGTGGTGGTCCCAGGCCTTCTGGGCGGAACCATTTGGGCGACCGGACATGGAAGAAGCTGGTTCAACAACATGCCTCGACATGAAACTCGTGGTCATCCTGCGCCAGGAGCATATGTCTGGAAAGTGTAAAGCTTGGGGCAACCATGTTCTTAATCGCTTCATGTAAAATGTTCGTTCTCTTAATTTCTAATGGCTTCCCAGAGCATAAGATCGGCCTCAACACCGCAATCTCCTCAACTCTTGGCCTTGTCATCGCAGTAGTCTGGGTAATTTGCTCAATGCCTAGTCCTCATTCTTCATTGACAGCCAAACATTACGGCGGCATCGTCGATGTACGTATATTTTGAGCTTATGGTTTGGTGTTTACACAATCTCCTATCTAGGCCTACAAACCGATCATACCAAAACAAAGTCTCACAAGGAAACTTTCACAAAGAAACCTTCACGAAGAAACCTTCAGACACTTGGATCAGAGAGCATCACGATGCCTTGCAGTCTCCATATCAAAAGTGGGTGGTTCGTCAACTGAAATCGTCGGGCTCATTGGACGCCTCCTCGCCAACTAAGTCGGATTCGGCAGTTTCCATCGACCCGAGATATGCCACCACGTTTTCATCAGCCAGTAGCATACGCCTCTGAATGTCATCTTGTCAGTTACCTTGCATGCCATCGCGTGAGGGGGAGACCCTGGGATTTTGCGGGGGTGGATTCTCACCTCTTTCTCCAAGTCATCTATCACAACTTCTAGAAGATCGGTTTCGATCCTCCTGAGAAGAGAAGCAGCCTGGCGACACTCGTCCCTCATCAGGTCAACGTCGCCGATGGGGAGTGAAGCGAGATCCGCAAAAGATTGCGCTCTCTCAAGCTGCTGCTGCAACCGCTCCTGGACCACAGTGACAACACGCAACTTGATAAGTGTAGATACCTCATAGTTCTGGATAAGGGTTTCAAAGTCCCCTATCCGGTCTGTAACGTCCTCCTCTCGCCAGAAAACACGGAGCTGTCGGCCACCCACACTGTCCTGTAGCACCCGGAAATCCAGGCCATCCTCCTCGTTCACGCACATGAGGTAGGCGAATGGGCTGTTCCATGACACGGCAGAGCTACCCTTGTCGCGAGCCACGAGAACTTTGGGCAGGTCCTTGAACGCGAAAAGCTTGGCCTTTGCCAACGGGTCGTCCTCAAACGGCTCCAAAGGGAGCACAAGGCTCTCAACAGTCGCTTCCGGATCTATAAACCCGTAACTAAACAGCATCTCTGCAGCCGGCTTGGCATCGCCATAGCTGATGGTCACCTCCTCACCAGGTGAAATGCTGCTGTCTGGCCTGGGCAAAAGGACTACCTCGTCTTTGGAGTTTTCGTCATAGTAAGCCGACGCACGGGTCGAGTGGTTGATCATGTCTATGCATGGCACCATGGACTCCCCCGACTTCGGCAACTCGAGGGCTCGAGACCGGTAAAGCGCATCTAAAAGAATCCAACTGCGTAGAGATGCCGCAGAATTGCCGTCTTCGTATGGCCACAGTATGTCGTTCCAGATCGGAAGGCTAGATGCGGCCTCCCGGACCGCATCAAACTCGGCAGTGATGGCCGTCATCTTTGCGTTCACGGCTGACTCGAGAGATGTACCCCGGAGAAGTAGCCGCTCATCTTCTGTCCACAGTGTGGGCACGAGGACCGTTTTGGGTAGGAACTTGATGTACTCGGTCCATGGGTTTGAGACACCCACTGGAGCTTGGTGTGTTTTAGAAGCCAGAACCAACTGGACAAGGAGAAATAATAATGTATCCCTTCTGGCTGACTGTCGTGTAAGCAAGATAACGTCAGCTAGTTTCCCGGACAATGTCAATAGGGAAGGTCGGGAGTTCCCGGATAGAGAGGGGATGGGAATTGATCTGTGACAGCTCGCTCATACATGATGTCCAACAGCACCCAACAGTTGCTTGAAGTTCTTGTCTTCTTTGGCATATTCATCAACAGCTTGTACGTTGAGAACGAGGCTGTTTGGGACCGTCATAAGAGGAACCTCTGGTTTGAGCTCTCCATCCCTTACTACGCCAAAGCCTTTCCCTTCGATGTTGGCGACCTTGACATGCGGGAATGTGATGCCGTTGAGCAGAGCCCAAGCGGGCAGTGTCTCGATTGGGAGCCCAGGTTGTGCCATTTTTGTGAGAGACTGCTTGATGTACGACAGGAAGAGAGGTGCATTCCACCCTGCTAAGAAGTAAGTATAAGATAACAGAGAGTTTATAGAGTTTATTTAAGCTCCATCTACGATGAACCCGCACCGACAGAAGCAACTGCCGTAACAAAAGCACCCTGGTCGTAAAGGTCTTGCTTGTAAGATGGAGTAAATTGAATGTACGACCGTTGAGATAGATAACCCTAACCCAAGACTCCCAGTTAGCATTCCCACACTCAAACGCCTGTGCAGTCTTGGCGGATGTGTGCGTGTACACACACACACGACTTTTTGGCAAAACGGACTATTGAAACGAAAGACGAAGATGAAGAAACTCAATTCTCCTATATGAGAGACTATTCTCCTCATAGTCTTAAGTACGCTAATTCAGAATTTTGAGTTGGTTTTCTTTTATCTCTTCGTTTAGTAGAGATATAAACAAATGAAATCTCATCGATAGTCCGTTTTGCCAAAAAGTCGTGTGTGTGTGCACACGCACACATCCGCCAAGACTGCACAGGCGTTTGAGTGTGGGAACAGCTTCCCAATGTCGCAACTGCCTTCTGTGAGTACCTTGTCTATACACTCGTGCTGCCTGGTCTTGGCTTAAAGTCGTAGTGCACTAAGGATTCGTATTGGACATATTACTATAGTGACGAGGCAAGTAAATTCAAACAATGAACATAATGATAATATCGATAATAACAGCGATAGCGACAATGATAGCGAGAAAGATACCTAGGATTAACTTCAACACTTCAACTCAGTTATAGACTACGGCAGTAGCGTTTGCGTCCCGTCCAGCGCGGGCGATCGTATCTCTATTTGGTGGGGCTGATAACGAATTTCAATTTCGTTCTCCTCCACAATTACCTGGGAGCTGCAGCTGCCTGCTTGAAGTTGCCTTGGAGTCTTGAACAGAGCACGATAGTCAAGACCTTTTTGCCGCATTCAGCAATCACCCTACTAGGCTCAACACCTTCTTGAATCCGGATCATCATAACTTAGCCCATCTGGCATATTCGATTACCGCCAATCGAACCAGAGCGAACCCTCCAAATGCCCCGAGATCCTCTAATCGGACTGGTCGGCAAACCGAGCGCTGGCAAATCCAGCACGCTCAACTCGCTAACAGATGCTTCCTCTAAAGTCGGTGGGTAGTTTCGTGATCTTGTTTACAAAGACATTTACCTTCCCTTCCCTTCGACATCTCGGCTGCGAAGATGGACGCTTTACGTCTCATACGAACGGGCTGCTGATACGGCTTGCCATGCGATACAGGAAACTTCCCGTAGGCTTCTTTCCGTTACAACCTGCCCATCTTCTGCCTGTCTCTCTCAAGTCTATACACATGAAACACATCGTCCTGTTTGCTCCCATAAAATGACTGCCATCGTCTACGAATACAACCGCAAGCAGACGCAAAGGATGTTGCGCTGACTACAAGGCCTTTTATTCTGCCACAGTTTCACCACCATCGACCCCCAACGAGCGATCGGCTACCTTCAGATAGACTGCGCCTGCGCGCGCTACAATGTTAGCGAAAGGTGCAAGCCAAACTACGGGTCTTGCGTCAATGGCAAGCGTAGTGTGCCTATTGAACTGCTCGACGTAGCCGGTCTCGTCCCCGGCGCGCATGAGGGCAAAGGGTTGGGCAACAAGTTCCTCGACGACCTGCGACATGCCGACGCCCTGATACACGTTGTCGACGCTTCAGGCACAACAGACGCCGAAGGAAAGGTCACGCGCGGGTACGATCCATCCGTGGACATTGCGTGGCTGCGCTCCGAGATCGTGGCCTGGATCAAGGGAAACCTTTGGGAGAAGTGGGGTTCAATCAAGAGGAGGCATATTGCTGTCAAGGCGACAGCGGTGGAGACGCTCCAGGCACAGTTCAGTGGTTACGGGAGTACCGCTGCGGTGGTGGCGCGGACGCTGGATAAGCTGGGGCTCAAGGAGCCGTTGGAGGAGTGGTCCGGTACGTTTGCGACTTTGCTTTAAACACCTTGGTGGGTATCGTCAGTCCGACTGCGGCGTGGGTGCTAACACTAGTTTCCGACACCCAGAGGAAACCGTCGACCGCGTTGTCAACGCCTTCACCGACGAGAAGTTCCCAACGGTGATCGCACTCAACAAAATCGACCACCCAGACGCCGACAAGAACATTGCCAAGATCGCCAAGATGCAAGATCCAAACTCCATCGTCCTTTGTTCTGCGATCTCCGAAATCTTCTTGCGCAAGATGGCGAAGCAAGGGTATATCAAGTACACAGAAGGCAGCGAGTTCGTTGACACGAGGGAAGACCTAATAGCCGACGGCGATCCGGACGGCGGAGGCTTGAAAGAGCTGGACGAGAAGAACCGGAACAGGATAGAGAACCTGAAAGACATGGTCCTTTACCGATTCGGCTCCACGGGCGTCAATCAGGTGCTGTCCAAAGCCGCCGAGATCCTCGGCTTGGTGCCGGTCTTCCCAGTCAGGAATACGACGACGTTTACGTCGGGTGCAAATGAGTCGGCGAATAAGGCGGTATTCAGAGATTGCGTGTTGGTCAAGAAGAACTCAACCGTAGCCGACGTGGCCAGGAAGATTATGGGTGATGCGCCGATTGCCTACGTCGAAGGTGCGGGCGGCATCCGAGTTGCGGAAGACCAGATTGTTACGGTTGGGAAGAATGATGTGGGTAACCTTTCTACTACCATTTCAAATGACTTTACTGACCTTCACATAGATCTTATCATTCAGGGTAGGCCGAGCATAAACAGCCGAAAGAGGAACACAGCCCAGTTTAGTACACCCTCGCGAACCGAGTAGATAGATAAAAGGCAATGCGTAAGAGTGTCATAAACAGCTACCAAACAAGAGCGCATGGAGGGACAGCAAAAGGAGCCTTATCCTACGATATGCATCCCACAAACTCCCTTAAATCAGCTTACTTGGAGAGCTCATAAGAGCACAAGTGACCGGCGTAATAGTGCGAATTTGAAGTAGCAAAATGCTCATAACCGCAAGGCATGCGTTTCTGTTGTCCTTGAGCGCCTATTAACCCCTTGAGCTCCTTCCATTACATAAAACCCCATCTTTCCACCTGCGTTCTCGTAAACCCGTTCGTTAAACGCCCATCCCTCCCTATCGTAATTAAACTTGTCTCTTCTTCTCTCACTTTCTGAGCTTTTCCGCATGCCTGCAACAAATGCGTGCCGAAACGTCCGCGTAAATCCCCCAGGGCGCAGCGCGTAATTTCGACAAGGGGTATCATAAGGCGAAAACAAGCGCCGGAACCGTCGGGAAAAGGAATCAACCTATCCATGAAGGTGTGGTGATGTGCCCACACCACTTGGTTCCCGATGTAACATTTTCTTTTTCCCTTTCCTTCTCCTTCACGAACGACGACAAAAAACAAGAAGATCAATTAGTTGGTGTTTCTTGTTGTCGTTATTGTGTCGTTGCTCATTTAATACTTCAGAATAATGTAGAGAGCGTGGACAATACCGGGAAGGTACTGCAGGCAATAGTTAGCAAGGGTTCCGATGTGTGCGACAGCTGGAAGGCAGAAGGAAAGAAGGAAGGAAAGGAAAGCTTACACCCAGAATGGTGAGTAGGATGTTGATGAAGAGATCGGCACCGCATCCACGTTCGAAGAAAACTCCGAGAGGGGGGAGGATAACGGCAACGATGATCTTGCAGATGTCGCTGAAGAGGATGCAAATGTCAGCAATGGTGACCTAGAACCAGAGACGCCGCGCTGCGTCAAGCAGGTGGGAATAGCCAGCTGGCTCTTACCTAGCGGTGAAAGCCATTGTGATGGATTAGTATTGTAAGGTATTAAAGATTGGGATGAGTATCGCGCGTTGATCGAAAAGTTTTGGAGGCTTGCTGGGTGTGAAGGTTGGATGATGCTTTTTGTTGTTTGCTCGAGTGGACTGACGTAAAACAGCGGCGAGACAAGCGGGCGGGAGAGAATTATATAGGAACAACATGGGACCTACGGGACAGCCTTGCCAAGATGAACTGTAGAGGTCATCTGTAAACCTGGCGGGGCCCTTACACCTCTGTGCTCTTGCAGGGCAAACGGGACAGGGAACAGGGTGCGCTTGTCTGTGTAGTCTTTTCCTCTGCCCGGGCAGTCCATTCCTTGCTTTGGCTGCTTGGAGCCGTTTGTGTGTCAGTTCAGTTCCCTTCCTTCGAGGCCAAGCGGGTAGGCGAGGGAACCTGATGAGATGATGGTCCAACCTTTCGCAAGCTCGCGCGCAAAGCAAGCCATGTACAAGGCGGTGCACACACGCGATTGGAGAGTCGGCTAGAATACGTCATAAGGTACACACCACTCAGCGACGAACAGGCAAAGGTACCCTAGGTACCGAGGTAGACATAGCACGGTGGTTTGCCGTCTTACTTTACCCAGTTTTGTCAACATCTATGTTAACTCGCAATGCTTCCTTGAGAAGCGAGGAACTGTGCCCGACACGAACACACCTGAGAGAGGGCCGCCTGGTCAAGTGCTGGAGCGATGCTGAACAAGGAAGCTGGGGCTCGACTTCGGGACGGGACTCCGAAGTCCTCATGAGTGATCAAAATGAACCAGGGTAAACACGCGGACATCCCGGCGAAAGAACCACAGGGTCTTATAGCGCTAACTTACAAGTACTATAAAACGTAGTGTACACCGCTTCATAGTTAATGTTTAGAAATTTGTTAGCCCGAGACTTGCAAGCTCTTTTTTGACAAGGGAGAGGACAAGGGATTATTCGGCGTGACTCAAATTGGTGCAAACCACCGCAAAAGGCACATGCACCAAGGGCCTCCATCCATAGCGGGCAACCACGGGCCAGACGCTGCTACCCGACTCCAGGACTCTTGCATCGCCAACCTAAAAGTGGTAGAAAGAGCCCTCTGTAGGCAGAGGAGGTACCGCCCTAACGGACTTTCTAGGGGTGAACTTGAACTGTACCTATAATTTCGACACCGCAGCACAGCCCCAGACACATGTGGTTCAAGCATCTACCGCCACAGCTCAGGAACCTGAGCACGGGCAGTGTTTTGGGTCGCCCAACGGGGATGGGTAGATTGAAAAGCCCCTTCGCAATGAAAATGCTTGGGACTTTATTCTCATGCTGCCATTCATGCCTATCATGGTTTGCAAACAGTCTTCAAAGTTGTACACTAAATATGTACACTACGAATCAAAAGGTCCTAACGTTGACGACGTAACCAAGTCCAGTGAGCCGAACCGTTACGATCCGCCAGGAGCTTGCCGTCCAGCGCTATCCTCGAGCGGCCAAGCGAGAGCCAAGCATTTGCCAAGATCCCAAGCCAGTGACATCACCAGAATGACCCGCAAGAAGTGTGGCGCATTAACCATGAAATGAAGGCTTGGAAGGCTCAGCTATGCGCGGCCGGCTCACGCCCAGAACGATCTCCGGTGCCATCACTGATGATCTTGATTTCACCGCACAATCTAAGCGAAGCGCGATAGTAGTGTACAATCTCAGGTCTCTTTCAAGCGATGACCAGGGCTCGGCTTCATAGCTGGGCGGCTGCCAAGCAGGCCATACCGGGTATGGCGGAAGTTGTATGGTCATTGGCATTCTGGGCTTCGGATGCGAAGAGAACTTTGGTCGCGTGAGGTTCTCTGTGTGGGATGTGCGCGATGGACACGAGATTGGTCATTGAAGGTTCAACGATTTGAGCATTGAATACATTACAAAGCAGAGTTGGTAAACAGGTAGGAAACTTGATCCCCCTCCCCAACGGGTAAGACCAAGAGCCCATGGCTCTACAACAGAACGGCCCTTCGAATATATCACATGCCATTCGTTACTTGTCGAGGAAGAAAAGATATGTGTTTGTTTCTTGACTTTGAAAAGCAAAAGATACAGCCGCTGCCGGTCATCAAAACCTCTCAAGCCGAGTGTTCGACGTCGACCGACAGTATGGACCACTAACAGGCAGCCCGATGACTTGATGAAAGGTTGCCATCCAGACATGCGATATCTCAAGATGCTCCAGTTCAGGCACGCAAAGAAGTGTGAAATCATGGCCAGCAGCGTAGGAGAGAACTGTGCCTTCGTCAGATCTGGACTCGAGAACAAGCACGGACGGGATATGGAAAATCGGAGTTTGATGTGATCGACAGGGCGGTGGGAAGACAAAGCTGGCCGCCCTTGATGGGCCGAACTCCCCACTTGTCGCCGATGTGGAGCCCCGTGCACCCGTACGCCAAGCCCCGCCTTCTGCCTGCCGACGGAGCCCTAAAATTTTGACAGGCCTAGGCCACACATTTTGGTCAAAAATTTTCCACCCAGCGCGTTGCGACCTCCACTTCACCACTTCCGTCCACCAAACCCTCAGAACCCAACAAAAGGCGCAGGATATCCAACCTCTTTGCGTCCTTCTTTCGACTTGTCCTTTGTCAACCCACAAGCACATCTCCATCCCGTCGACGCAATGGCTCCCATCACCGTATGTTCGCCCACATGACCATCGCTTTGCTGTTGGCCCAATCCTCAGCCAATGTGGAATCCCCCCAGCTTTCATGTTGGTCTGAGCGACCATGGCGTGAAGCAGTAGGCTAAGTCAAATTGTGTTTTACAGAAGAAGTCTGCCAAGGGCAAGGGCCCCAAGGTCACCAAGAAGTTCGTTATCAACGCTTCTCAGCCCGCCAGCGACAAGATCTTCGACGTCTCTGCCTTCGAGAAGTTCCTCACCGAGAAGATCAAGGTTGAGGGCCGCGTCGGCAACCTCGGCGAGACCATCAAGATCTCCCAGGTTGGTGATGGCAAGATTGAGATCGTTGCCCACAACGAGCTCTCTGGCCGCTACCTCAAGTACCTGTACGTGTTCCCCCTCGCGACCATCAACAGCCAAACTGGCGCTAACCATCTACCTCGCGACACAGGACCAAGAAGTTCCTCAAGAAGATGCAGCTCCGTGACTGGCTCCGTGTCGTCTCCACCTCCCGCGGTGTTTACGAGCTCAAGTTCTTCAACGTCGTCAACGACGAGGCTGAGGAGGATGAGGAGTAAATTCGATAACCCAAGGGAAATTCTGGAGATTTGAGGTTATCTGGCAGGGAATACCATATGATGGACGGGTGTGCATTGTGCTTAGCGGGAAACCGGGTTCAATGAACAAATGTCAAGTCGCCTCCTTGTGAGGCATGGCGTTCTGGCCAAACCTATTTCCGTCTATCCCATGCGCATGTGACTATGTGAACTCTGTAACATTGCCGGTTAATCGTGAACCATCTATAACGCCTCCGTTCTAGGAGTATCATACCCAAAAGCCAAACGTAAACAGATAACCCAACGCCTATGCGCCGCCATAACCTCTCGAGGTATATCACCCCAACCCAATGTCCGACCTCGGTAGCACTTCCGCTTACCCAGGCAACGACCTCATGACGCCCTCAAACACCAACAGTGCCATCGCATTCGCCGGGAACGCCCTTAAGAAGCAAGGCAAAAACCCGCGCCAATATCCCTTCGCGCCATTCTCCTTGTAAACCGCCACCGCGGCGTCCCTCCACCTCGGGAACCTCCTGACGCCATCGCCGAGCCCTCCTCCCAGATTATCCGTCATGAACCGTTGCTTTACAACATCGCTCGGGTAACTAGTCAGCCAGAACACTTGCGCGCTCAGCCCGCCCGCCCAGAAATTGATAGCCGGCGTGCTCATCTGCGTGTACTGCTTCATCCACCTACTGAACACATCATACGTGCCCCACCAAAAGAAGAAGAAGCTGCGAAACAATATCGTCGCTCCCAAGCCGTGATACACGCCCCTGATGCCGTGGTGCGTGTACACCTTTTTGAGGCAGTCAATGGGGCCCTTATACATCCTCTCCTCCTTACGCGCCGCGTACTGGATCTGCAGTCTGGCTTTCACGTGTTCCACGGGCGCCGCAATGAAGCTGACCGTCATGCCCGCCAGGATACCCGCCAACCCGTGGCCATGCGAAGGCAAGGGTTTGGCGGGGTCGTGCAATGGGTGCCAGGGCGGGTTGAACAGGTTGTCGCGCAAAAGGCGGCGGTAGACGGTCAAAGAGCCGAGCATGACACTGTCCATGAACATCCAGCCGACCAGTGGCGGGCTGGCGCCCTTGTAGAGACCCAGGATACCTTCGTTGCGGATGGTTTGGGTAACGCATTGGAGCGGGCCGGAGAAGCGGGTGGCGTCGGTGGTTTGGAGGCGCACTTTGATGGTGTCGAAGGGGTGGCCGACTGTGAGGATGGGTCAGTAACGTTGGTTCTACATTAAGAATCAAAATGAAGGTGGTGTGACGTTGGAAACAGTTATGTCAGTGCAAGTGTGTGTGAATAAATACGCACCGGAGAGCTTGGCGATGCCCGAAAAGACGCCAGCTACGAATCCCTTGTAGTTCGCGGCTGCTTTCTGGACCGCTACCGGTGCGGTAGCAGGGCCTGGAGCCTGTTGCTGGTGTTCTTTCAGGTTGGCACCCATGGTGTCGCTGGCTTCCTTCTACCTCAAGGCATACGAAGTATTCTTTCCTCGTTCTATATCATGGACCGGAAGATCCTGTCGAAGTATGGATGTCAAGAAGGTTCCAAGCCCGTCAATAAAGGAAGGAAATACCAGAAGGTATGGGATGCGCAGGTTAGTAATCTCACTTGACTACATGTGCTTCTTTCCCTCCAAAGTCAAGTCTGAAACAGAAATAAACGGACTAAAGTTTATCTCGTTTTCGCTCGATCGACCGGCATATCGGACACCCAAGTTACGGATCGGACCTCATCGGAGTCGATCTGACTGTCCATCCAGGGGTATCAATAAGTATCCCCGCTAAAAAGGTGCTGCACTGGTGGGGTTAATGGTGGAGTGTAGTAACCGCCATTGCCGTTTACCACATTAGCAAAGTATAACATGTGTAAAGGTCTCATCCAGACCGCCTTGCGACGGGGATACAATCTCAGGATGTTTTTAAATGGCTCACTCTTGGATATGTATCGAGTGTAACCTTTCAGAAGGGAAATAGTACTAGTAGGGCTCCGCGATGATGTCGTGTTAGTGATATCTCGGGCGGTGCTGTGATTGGTCGACAAATCGTCGAACAGCTCCTAACATCGGCCTCCATGCTTAACCTCGTCAACTTCTGCCGTCATTCTTGACTTCCACGATCCTGGGTCCTCCGGTATTGTATCCAGAGTCCGCACAAAACATTAACTGCTCTCTGGAGGAACTTGATCGGAATTATTTTGATGCCGGGTAACGGTCAACCTCCAAACCCGAAAAGGGTTTCACGACCCGTTACCCCGTTCCCTCTGTGCGTTTCCGACCTGCAGAAAGGCGACACCATTACCAGCAGTACCACAACCGACCATGTCACACCCCAAGATAACCTACGCCATACCGCCGATTCCCGCCGTGAAGATGAGGCGCAAGTTACGTAGCGGATGACCAGGAGCAGAGGAGGATTCCTCCGTTGAAGGAAAGCCAGCTTTCAAAAGACATCCCCTTCAACTCAAAATCTCTTCCCCCAGAACAATGTTCCTCCCAAAACCCTACCAAGCAAGTGACCTCCATAAGCACCACAGAGAATGGTAACCGGCCACCTTTGCCACTCGCGGTCCCAATCCAGTGGAATAGGCACAGCGCCCAGCCACGCGCCCACAAGGCCGCCCACCAGACCGCCAAAGGTCTCATCGAGCGGTGCACGGAATCCGCCGACCGCAGCCCAGGCGGCCGAATCAACGCCGTGTACGTAGAAGAGCGGGAAGAGTGTAAGGAGGGCAAGGTGCGCGGCGCACAGGAAGGTATGCGACCCATGTGTGAGGAAGGGCGCGCCGAAGAGGACCATGGCGAAGTATAGGAAGGGGGTGACGATAGAGGTCAAAACGGAGGCTAGGAGTGCGGTCTAGAGTTTTATGACGAGTATTAGCGAGGTATACTCCCAACGAGACCGCATGATCTCTGGAAAAGAACAAGATGGGACATGACATACAATGATCGTGCTCGACCCAATGTCGCCGCCCTTCTTCTTCTCGCCCGGCCGGGGTTTACGGTTCGACTTTGACGCGGGCTCGCCTGCCGCAGGCAGACAAAGAAGTGCATAGGTCATCTGGAATGCCACGACGACGGGCAAGGCGTTGAGCATTACTGGGACGGGATTGGTGACGAGGGCGTCGAATCGAAACAGGTATAAGGCGGTCAAGGCGGCCGGTAGAGCATGGCGGATGGTCTGAGCAGCGGGCGTTTGTTTGATTTGGACGGGTCGTAGAGTCGCCAGCGAGCTGCTGGAACCGGCCGTCGTCGTCGATGACTCTGTCGCTTGGCTTCCAGGTGTACTTTTTGTTGTCGATGTCGACTGGGCTACGGCGCCCTTCACGATTGCTGACGAGGACATTGTTACCGGATCCACGAGGGGCATTTTGGTTGCACGAAATGGACTGAACGAGGCAAGCTGAAGAAGCCTCGTGGCGCCAATTGATCGTGATTATTGGTGCAGTGGCAGGGGGGCTGTACCTGCATGTACAGTCGTTGACCGAGCAGCCGTCGCAAAGAAAGTGGAAGAGAAGCGATGTTGCCGAGGGAATGAACAGGCCAAGCTTCCAGTTGATGGCGGGCTGGACGGTTATTCTAGACGGTTAAATTCGGGATCCACTGTAAGCACCCAAGCGTAGAACCCTAACCCTCTACCACCTGCAACTTTGGCTTCTCAGTGCGAGCCAAGGACTTGTTACTAGCGACGTTTGAAGAATAATCTTGAATATCTCAGGCCTCAGTCGGGAATGAAATGTAACACATACTGTCGATGGTTCTTTTTATCCTTCCCCCTTTTTCCTCTTTTTTTTTTCTTTTGGTAGGCTGGTCAGAGCCAACCCTGTTCAGCACATTTCAGTTGTGGGATACACGCTGCTTCTATGTATAGCCGAACGCTTCGCAGATGCCTACACCCATACGTGCCGGTTCGTATAGGACGACACACCTCTCATCAACTATGGCCTCAGGGCCTCCAAAACATCCCTAACATGCAAGTCTCTGACCACACATGCGATTCATCACCATTTACTGAGCATCCTTAGCCGGGATGAGGTTTCTCAAAGACAAGTCATACACCACATCCTCGACCTTCTTCACAGCGTACTTGACCGAGTCCACCCTCTTCCGCAGGATATCGTTCTTCAGATTGAGCATCTGGAATCCTCCGTGTAGATCCTTGATGAATCCACTGATCTGTACAGCCAGCTCTGTGTCGCCTAATGTCACAGAGTTCATGGCGAGGCGGCTAAGGTCTTCAACGACCGAGATGAGAGCCAAGAGATACTCCTCGATGGTGATGTGGAAGGCGTCACGGTCCTTGAGGTTGACCGGAACTAGAAAAAAAGGAGTTCATAGTGGTAAGCATCTGTCTCTCCAGTGCCCCGCGGCGCTTTCTGACAGCGGGAACCAATGAAACCATGGGAACTTACCTTCGAATACGTGACCAACTTCCTCCAAAGTCAGGAGACGACCGACTTCACCAGGCTTGCTGTCGCTGCCCATACCGCCCAACCAAGCATGAAGGAGCACCGTAGCGATGGCATCCTGAAGTGTGCGGCCCCACTTGTAGTTGTACCTTGGGGACAGATCCGTCAGCTCATGGCCTCAAGTACGTGACAGGTGCTTATACTCACTTGTAGTAAGGGTACTGCGAGGCAAACTGGGCTAGCCGAGTTGTTGTCTCCAGTTCCTTCTTGATACCACTTTCAACCTGAGAAAGAAGTGCGGGATCTGAGTTGGTAAGTCAGCATCCCATTTCGAACTTTGAGAAATTCATCATCAGCATAATCGCAATGCCTCATCCCACAGATCCCAAGGTAGAGAACAGTTTGAGAAGGGTCCTCGGGGGTTTGGATAGACAATTTGACATGGGGTGTGATTGATTCCTGAGAAGGCAGCCCAGGTGCGAGGACCGTACATTTCGAACGAGGAGTGGAATGGATCTTGGTCAACACTCCCTGAGTATAAGAGACATTCTGATTGAGCTCCTCGATTATCTGCTCAAGATCTTTGCGAATACTGCTGTCCTTCTCGATGTTGTCTTTGAGCTGGTCGAAGAGCGCGGGGTCAATCATCGGCGGAGCCATCTTGAACAAGTTGCTGCGTCTTAGAAATGGTAAAAAAAAAATGTAAATGAATGGCAACTCAAGACGTGTGGTACTATGGGGTGATCGCGAATGACGGGGGTTCGGTGCTGGTTGTTGGATGCGATGCGATGTTCAAATGGAGAAAACCCCGTGCAAAACAGGAACTCTAAACTGCAGTGATATTTTTTCAACTGATTGCCATCTGGTTCCAATTCGGCAATTTGTTCGTTTGAACGCAGTAAGAAAAAGAAAAAGAAAAATAAAACCACACAAGGGAAAGACCGACCACAAGGTCAATACGACATGACCTTGATCCTAGCAATACTAATTTTCGAGTTTCCTGGCTTCGCAAAATACTGTTGGTGATTATCTTGCAGTGAACAGGAAGTTCATGACCACATACCAACCAACATCAACTGAAGTCAATGACCGGTTTTCAACCCATTCCAAGGCTCAGCAGGGATGGCCTGTGCTTCAGCGTTACCGCCTATGACTCTATGAGATCGTGACTATCGAGTATCTTTCGTTTTCAGCGAATCTGACGGACCTCAGATATTGCAAGAAACGATGGTGCAGCTCCGAGAAAAATAAGTTTTATGAAGTATAAGACCCACGTAATTGTAAAGAAAAAGATGCAAAGGCATAGTGGCCGACATGAAGATGTTTCTATAAGTAAGAGGCAAGCTGAAGTCCTGGGCCGTCGCAAAGGGCAAATCCCACGGTCAGGTAGGTACAGGTAGGAGGGTAGGTACTTTGACAAGGTACGTACGTGCGTAGGCAAGTGAGAAAGCACAGACCACAAGAACCTCAACCGCTCTTTCCACGATCCGGTATCACTCCGGAACTCTTGGACAGCTACCGAAACCATCGGACATATGTACTTCTACTACCATTTCTCACGGTACGACGAGCCTCTATGCCGGAAGGCGGCGCGAATACCCTAAATGTACGACAAACAATAACCATCGGCTCCAAAGCCTAATATGTATTGTTTGGTCAATGCCAAAGTTTCAGACGAGAGACAATACCCCTTGATCAATCGTCACCCGTAGACTTCTTCTTGGGAACAGTTGAGGCCGTCCACTCCATTGGATTCGCCGCACAAGCTTGAGGCGAACAGTTCAAGGTTGATGTACATCGATAGGTACTTTTACATAGTATATCTCTTCACCTTTGTAAAGTAATCCCATACATTGCTTCGCCGTCACAGCCGAGACCACAAGGCTTTCGTGTCATTGACGACCCAACCTTCTGGTGGACCTAGGAAGTCCGTTGCCTGTGCATCATGTATCGAGGCATTCCATCTTTTTCGATGCAAGAATTCTTCTTTGGCTTCCTGTTCGAAGAGGAGAAATTCCATGCCTCGGCACAACAACCCCTGACCCAAGCTGTTGCGGGGGATCTGCTCCCCTGTAAATGCGGGGGGAGGAGACACCCTGATGCCTTCTCAGCCAATTGACTGCAAGCTGAGTTCCGAAAATGGGCAACCTTGAATGCCTACATTTGTTTGACGAACAGTGGCGTTCAAGAGTAGGCAAAGTTCGCTCCGCTACCAGGCAGCCTGTCCACTCACTCATACCGGTCCCTGTCCATACCTTTTGAGATGCTGAGGTACGCGGGAGTGGCAGCACTGGGGGACGGACTTATCTTCCGTCCCTGCTTGGGAGGGAGGTCAGGAAGGTTGTCCAAACAGCGGCTTCGAGTGAATGGTCACCTCTCGGTACGCTACTGCCGTGCTTCATCTATAGCCAGCTGTTCCCGTTGAGCCATCCCATTCACTTATCTTGTGGCGCTGGACTTTTGACACCTAGTGGCTCTGTCCTTCACTCACCTCCTTTCCGCCCTTCCCCGCCCCTGGACATATATGAACGAGAGGTGGTGCCGGTACTTGACCCCTTCTTCACAGACCGTTCTCAACGGAAAGCTCAGAAGAAAATCTCCCCTCAAAAGATGCCGGTCAAATCACGATGGGCCGCCGATGTTCCTCGGTGCTCCCTGCAACAATGGATCTTTGACTCGCCTTGCGGTCCTCTTCCAGACCGTCGTGCATATATCGATCCTGAGGAACCTGATACGAACTACCTCGACCTCAGCAGCTACCGACTCTTGGCCAAGCGCGTCGCCTTGGGCTTACAACAAGCTGGTCTGAAGGAAGGCGACAGAGTGCTCCTCTTCTCTGGCAACAACATCTTCTTCCCTTCTATCTTCCTTGGCATCTTGATGGCCGGAGGCATCTTCACAGGTGCCAATCCCAGTTTTGTGGCCCGAGAGCTGGCATACCAGCTTCGCGACAGTGAAGCCATCTTCCTCGTCACGGCACAGGGCTCCCTTAAGACAGCTTTTCAGGCAGCTAAAGAGGCTGGCCTGCCGAGGGATCGCATTTTCGTTCTCGGCGGAGATACTCCTGCAGCACAGGAAGTAGCGCTATCTTCCAATCCTGGACCAGGGCTGAAGGGCCGGGTTGCGGGAGCTAGGCACTGGACAGAACTTCTTCAGGGAAATGCCAAAGAAGCTGAGAGTTGGAGCTGGAAAGAGCCAAAGGATCCGCAGACCACGACATGCTGTCTCAACTACAGCAGCGGGACCACTGGAGTTCCCAAGGGAGTTGAGATCAGTCATTATTGCTATGTCGCAAACGGAGTTCAGGTTATTCACCTCAACAACCTCAACCCCGACTGGGAGGAAAGGCAAAAGCGAGCCCGTGCCCTCTGCTTCCTGCCGCTTTACCATGCCTATGGCCAGACATACTTTGTCGCGAACATGCCGCGGGCCGGCATCCCCATCTACATTATGCCGAGCTTCGATTTCGTCAAGATGCTTGAGTATGTTCAGCGCTATCGGATTACCTCACTGACTTGCGTGCCACCAATTGTGGTCGCGTTGGCCAAGTCTCCTCTTACCAAGAAATATGATCTTTCAAGTGTCGAGGGATTGGGTTCCGGAGCCGCTCCGTTGGCAAAAGAGGTCTCCGACGAAGCGGAGAAGCTGTTCAATGGGAAATTTCGTCTTCGCCAGGGCTGGGGCATGACGGAAACGACATGTACTTGCATGTCATGGGATCCTCTCAACAAGGAGCCCAGCTCAGGCGTGGGCGAGATGATGCCCAACTGCTCTGGAAAGCTGATGTCCCTAGACGGAAAAGTCGAGATCACCAAGGCAGGGGAAAGAGGCGAGTTCTGGGTTACAGGCCCTAATTTGATGCGCGGTTATTGGCGAAAGCCTGAAGCGACAGCGGATACCGTTGTCGTCGACGCAGATGGCACTCGCTGGCTCAAGACGGGCGATATTGCCTACTTCGATGCATACAAGCCTGGAGGTATTGTTCACATCGTCGACAGGTTGAAGGAGTTGATCAAGGTGAAGGGTAACCAGGTGGCGCCTGCTGAACTTGAAGGGCTGTTGCTCGAGCATCCTGAAGTAGCCGATGCCGCGGTGATCGGTGTGACAATCAACGGCGAGGAAGTTCCTCGAGCCTACATCGTTCGCCAGAATCCCAAGTCAAAGATCACTGGACAGGAGATTGCCGACTGGATGGCCGGCAAGGTGACTCGGTACAAACAGCTGAAGGGCGGCGTCGTTTTTACGGACAACATTCCGAAGAATCCGGTAAGTTCTGATTATATCTTTTGACGTTGCACACACCTAAGCGCTAATGCGTAACTCGTACAGTCTGGCAAGATTCTGCGTAGGCAGCTTCGTGATCGCGCGGACAAAGAAGTTGGAGATCTTAAATCGAAGCTCTAAAGAGAAATGGACAAGTGCCGGCGTTGTTACCCTTCACGCATCTCGCAAGCAGGATGGTGAAGACCGTACCGACAGGAGTAGACTGGTTCCACAACACATACCTTTACTTCATGGCCGAGGACTTGGGAAGATGAAGGAAACAGGTGGAAGCAATGGGTAGAGAAACGTGCCAGATTTGCAACATGCATACCTTTGAAGGATAATGGTTTTCTAGGTACATACCCGATGGAATGCATGCATAGAGTTGAGGTTATCTACCAGACATCGGGTGCAAGAAGAGTGTCGGTACTAAGATAATACGGATCATAGAGGTATGCCGCGGGAACGGGAGTTGATGGATGAATTGAACGGAGGGTCGCAAACTCCTAAGCAAGGTGCATGAGACGCATTTCTGAAAGAAGGAGTGAGTGGGTTGGTTCTTCCCCTGGTCCTTGATGCTTGCCATAGGCAAGTGCTCTCAAGCACCTTCCTCGAGATGGGCAGAGCAAGAGTACCTTACTGCCGCCCCCACACCACCAGTGCAGTCATAGTCCGACTTTCGACTTTGTTTTCCTCCACTCCTTTCTCACTTCTCGCTAGTTGACCGAAGCAACACATGGGCTCTACGAACTTGTGTCCCCCGTCAAGTCAAACCATTACCTATCTACATCTAGCGGGGCGCATCCTGGCCAGGTCCATATACTGGAAGCTAATTACCTATTTGCAACTGTCCGGCGCCTCTGTCACGAACACCGACCATGGTCATTCCACCCATTCAATCCTTTTATCAAAAGGCACCACCTGCCTCTTCCGCCTTCTCCCAGACACTACTAGGAACACCCAGATCCAATCATGCAGACATAAGCCGAGCGCCGTTGACAGAAACGTGGAAGCCACAAGGCAGTTATGCCAGAGTCAACATTTCCGAACTTCAGCCAGGAAGAGGCAAGGTCCGATTCATGGGGAGAATTGTCAATATATGCCCGGCCAAGCCTGACCATCAGCCCAGAGCCCTTTCCTCTCTTCCCTCTGGATTCCATTTCATGGTCGTCAAAGACGATTCTGGAGTAGTTGCCGTGAGTTCAACATCCTTAACATTTTCATCTTCGTCTGAAACAAATCTCCGGACATCTGGCTCACACCAAAGAAAATCCAGATAAAACTTCTCGGCACGCAATCCGACCTTATCAACCTCCACCTCGGGAACCTGGTCACAGTATGGACCGGCTTTGTGGCCGAATACTCAACGGCAGCCACTATCCAAGTCCCTTTCGTTTCGATGATTATTCCTGTTCACCCAGGCCCGGCTTCGCAATCATGCATCAAGTTCCACCAAGATGGAATTAATTTAGAGGAGACGGGTCTTTGTCGCATCCCTTTGGAATATAACACTAGTTCTGCGTCCTCTCAGATGCCGGGACTGATAAGCCTCAGAGCCTTCATGAAAGGCACTCGTACCAAGGGGAAGCACGAGGATGATATCTTGACAAAAATCCTTGTCTGTGTCTCAAGCATTGGCCCTCGAAAGACCATCCAGGCCAACAACAATCCAAGCACTCTGGAACTGGTCGAGGTTCATGTCTGTGACGAAACAGATCATGGTGTTCTCAAACTCTGGAGTGACCAGATTATCTCGGCACGCGCATGGACTGCTGGACAGACCATCCTACTTATAACCAACCCAAAGTTCTATCCCCGAAAGAAAGTCAACGAAAACCCAGGACTGGGTATTGCCCTGAACTCGATAGTGGATGTGGACCCCGACTTTCCCGATGCTCGCTGGCTTCGACGAATGGCTGAAGCTCAAAGAAAGAGAGAGCGGGCACACACGCCGTTCCCCGTTGGTGTATGGGACGTCGAACAAGCTATCAACGGCCCGAACAGGGTACTCTATACCTTGGCAGACGTGGATGAGAGGGTGAGAGAGGACGCCAGCGTTGTGTTTACCGGGAAACTCAACGTCCTCATCCTTGGTGTCAGTATCTGCGAGAACCAGAGACAGAACAGACTCTGTTGTTTCGAATGGTGAGTCGGTTTACCGGAACTAGCCCGTACGGTACTTCACACAAGACTGCCTTTCTCCCATCGCTCATCTTTACTCCTCTACCTACGGACCATATCATGTATAAGGTCTGGAACCAGGCCTTACTCACAAAAATATTGCCGGTGTGCGAGGTACCCATGGTACAGTTTTTGTAGGTCGCTGCTGGAGCATGATGGTTCGTTCCTCCAAGTTTCCCGGGCGACGGAGCTTCTTGTTGTTTTTGTCGCCTTCATCTATGGTTGAAAAGAGCCCCGACGCGTTCTCCGTACTTTTCTCTTCCATTCCCACCTGCTTTCGAACGAAGTTCATATATTGATTGTTGCCCGAAGACGCAGCGATTCCGATCGCAGGTCGCCACTGCAGCTGGTGCAGAATAGCATGCCTCTTGTTTCCACTCTTGGCGAGAAAAAAAGACTAGTTACTGAAAACTGACATTACCTATCTCCAGTTGCAACTTCCCACTTTACTCCAACCAGTCCTCCGCGACGTGCAAGAACTGCCACAAAGACTGCGAACTGACCATCAACCCCCGTGTAATCGGACCTGTCGCGGACGAAACAGGATGCGTCACCCCGTGCAAGTTAGTATGGAGCGACAGAGCATGGTCTGAGTTGCTCAGAGGTGGTCGTGGCATCTGTTTTGACGGCGAGCATGGAACAGCGACTGAACCATCGCCGAATAACGATTTCTCTGACCTTACTACTTCACATGAAGACAATCATGATGCTTACTATGCTGTGCCTCAATCTGACCAATATATCTGGAAGGACCTGATCAAAGTTGACCCATTGGAACTTAGAGACTTGGAAGAACGGCTGTTGTACTCCCGTGTTACCTTGACGTTTGGCTGGTTTGCGGGGGTCAAGCGGCTCTGTGTGTTGGGCGTGGAATGGTGAAGATGTTCGAGAAAACGGGCGTTGGTGACTCTAATGGTTGATATGATGGACGTGGAATGATAGTACCCGAGGAGGAAAAGTAATGACAAGATGTTGTGGTTTATGTGGTAGGAGTTTATATTACGGTCAACAACCACCACAGTAGTACTGCACATCAATCACCAAGGTCAAGCAAAACCACACATGTAAGAACGGTGTTCATTATTGTACGTTTCAGGGCATCTAGCAAAGATCAAGCTACTAACTATAATCTTCTTTTCTAATTTCCCTCCTGGCAGCAAATCACCCGCTCTTAACTGTTTTCTCAAATTTTCCCATTAACGCTGTGCTGTTGCAAACAGCGACTCTCAGGCTGGCTCGCATTACCCCAAAATCCCTCCATCTAAAAGCTCGGATCTCTAAATCCTCCACTCAAGAATATGCTTGCAGCCGCGCATGCTTGACACTTGACAGCCTAAAAGAGCTTGTGCTCAAGGGTCATGTCAGACTCAGGTTCGAGACCGACGCAAGCGCGGAAAATGTTAGTAAGGGCAGCACGCTGCTTGGCAAGCGCGTTGACGACGGGAGTGCCGGGCGGAGTGAGGGGGGCCTTGAGCATGTAGCTGAGGACGCTCAGGACGCTGTGGAAGTGCTTGAAGTCCTTCTCGGCAGCGGCGCCGGCCTCAGCAGCCTTCCACTGGATGCGGGTCATGATCTCGGTGATGACGACGAGATCGATGATCAGGGGCGAGGCAAGGAGAGAGTCCTCGCACACGTTGAAGAGCGAGATGGTCTGGTGACCGCCGCAGAAGATCTCGGCGTAGTACTCGTCAAGGGCGCGCTTGTCGTCGCCGACGGCGGGCATGTACTTGATCACAACGGTGTGATCGGGGTGCTCACCCTCCTTATACAGGACACTGTTGGCGGCCACCATGTCGTCGACCACGTTGGACTTGGAAATTTCCTTGGAGCGGAACTGCTTCTGCGAGGAAAGGTTGTAGCCGTCGTTGTTGCCCAGGTGGTTGTAGGACGCAATCGAGGTCAACTTGATGCCGGCATTGATGAGGAAGTCGGTCAGGGCAGACTTCATCTTGGTCTGGCCGGACTTGAAGTCGTCACCGCCGATGAATGCACCGTGTCTCTCGGCAAGCTCGATGGCGCCGGGGACGAAGGTGTTCTGGGGGGAGCCGTTGATGAAGGGAGTACTCTCGAGAATGCAGGCAACGGCGAAGATGGTGGAAGGGGAGACCTCCTCGTGGCCGGCCTCAATGGACTTAAGGAGGTTGTCAGCGGTGTCGTTGACGCCGTCAATCAAGTCGGCGTAACGCTCGGTGTTGGCAGTCCAGAGGACAATGATTTTGTCGAGGCCGTTGGCGGCCTTGAACTCGCGAATGTCCTTGCGGATCTGCTCAACGTGCTCCATGGAGGCCTTGGAGCCGGGGAGAACGTTGTCGGCACGGTCCTCCTGGTTGGCAGCAATGAAGTCGGGGTAGTAGATGGAGGGCAGGGGGACCATCTTGGACATCTCCTCGCGAACAAGCTCCTTCATGGTAGGCTGAAGGACTTTGGCGCGATCCATGGCCTTGTCGAGGGGCATGCCGGAGATATCCCAGCCGCCAATAACGAGATCGTTGGGGTGAACCATGGGGAGGACGTTGTGGAAGGGAACGTTGACATCCTTGCCCTTGGCGTCGATGCCGAGCTTGATGGTGGAACCCATGATGACGGAGCCGTAGTAGTTGGCCTCCTGGGTACCCTCCTTGGTAGCCCAGCTGTACTTGTGCTTGTTGGCGAGGATGCCGGCTGTCACGGTGGTGCCATTGTTGCCACCCCAGCCGACCAGCATCAGACCGGTCTTGGGGACTTTTCTGTCGACCTTGAAGTCGTAGACAGTCTCCTTGGGGACGGCGACATAGTTGTCGCCCTCGACAGTGCACAGGGTGGTGCGGTAGGTGTACTTGGAGCGAATCTCCTCGTCGGTGTAGACTACGTTGGGGGAGTTGACAACGAAAGTCTTGGGGGTGGTGTTGATATGTCCATCACCGTTGGCATGAGCGCCGTTGGTGCCGTTGATACCGTTGGTAGTCATGTTGACGGTAAAGGTGGTTGTTCAGGTGCAGGTAAGTGGTTGGTTGGCTATCTTGGCTGTTGACGGTCTTTTATGGGGTAAAGACCGAGTCCGCTGAACTTCCGGGCGAGGCAGAACAACGGGCTCCTGCGTACGGGTGATGGACTCTGATAATTTATATTAGTGAAAGATCTAAAGATTGTAATATTTTCTTACGGCCGCCAGTGGCACAAAGCGCAGAGCCGCAAGGGTTGTGACTGGGCTAGGGAATATGGGACAACCTCAAACACATTTCCCCCGACCCTTCACTCACACCAACCCGCGTGGTGAAGGGTCAACAAACGAGGGCATGAAAACGCAACAGAAGGGCGGTCGTAGGGATGGCAGGAACATGCAAACGGCGGCAGAAACCTGGAAACCGTCGACTTACGAGTTGAGTAGGTTGGAAAACGTTTTGGCGGATGATGGGATCGCGGCTCGGGAGCGCGATCAGATGGTTAGTTGCTTTAAGGGGAGGGGAGTGCGAGGTCGTGACCGGTATGGATCTTTCTGAAGACGATGGGGGATCGAGACAAAAGAACGAGCAAGAGACGTTGGTTGACGGGCCTTCTTTATATACCTGAGGACCCGACAAACAGGCCACGGGCTCCCGCAAGGGACATGGCGGGAGATGTACCTCATTAGCCTCTCGTGAGGTGGTTCCGATGTGGATGCACGTCGGCTGTCCTGGAGATTGGAGCTCCATTTCCCATGCACCACGCGCGCGGCGGCCGGGCGGCGGGCGGTCAAGGGGGGAGACGAGACTCTGGGCGCCCGAGATCGCGCGCCAGGGCAATGCAATTGGGGGTAGACTACCATACAAGTTGGCACATACAGGGATCTTGCAACCATTGTCCACGCTCCGGGGTTTTCGGGCTCTAGACTTGCCCGCCCGTGGCATCTGCCTGTCCGGTCCGGGGCAGAGGACATTGTCATTTCAGATTGCAAAGTCGAATCAGATGTTTATTTCACGATATGTTGGGACTCTGCTAGTAATACGACCCCGTGCCACGACCAATGGCAAACGCCCATCGCCGATATCCCCAGGAAATACACAGTACATAATAACGTCAAAAGAGTGAACGTGATTAACCCCGGGATGGTTCTTTGATCTTGTATTCCCTGGTCGATTCATCCACCTTCCAATGGCACCTCAACAGTTCCCCCCAGCTGGGCCACGTTGGTATCAGATGGAAACGACAATCACTCGCGTACAGGCATAGCTACCTACGTACGCAAGCACGAGCACAACCTGCTTTCTGGAGCAGAATCTGTTCAACAACCTCAACACGCATACACATCCTGATCCTGTCTGAATCCGCAGTCTGCCCTTTCGGCGGCCGAATCGACAGGCGCCGGTTAAAGTTGCCCCCTGTAAGAGACAAGGTCTGTACAACCCTTTTCGACAGAAGGACGAATATTCGGGGTTTCCAACAAATCCTTTAGTCAAATGTTCACCCGCACCTGACAGGGCCATCGTGCCACGGCGCGTCGGTTGTGAGGTTGGACTGTCGGGGGAGGTTGGGGACGATGTGGGGTGCCGGGTCTTCCACCCACCGGTCCGGACACCGAAACCCCTGAACCATCTTGCACTGGGGCCATCCAGACGGGACTCGCCAGACAGCGGGCAACGCCAAGCCTGCCGATTTGCCCGCTCGATAACGGACAGATTCGGGTGCCGAGCCCGATAAGGAGGTACCTGTGACTACATACACTACTAGTAGCGTCCCGGTCCTAACGGCAGCATGAAGGGCGGTCTGTCGATTTTTGTCTCCCTCTTGCACATCCCGCGTCTCGAGCTCGACATTGGTCCATCATCGAAAGTGCATTGCATCAGCAATTGTTGTGAGCCGGTGTTCGCTTGTCGTAGGTTGACATCGAACCGCAGACTGCACTGCGGTCGTCTCGCAGCTGCTAGTTTCTGTTCTTACCGTGAGTCATTAACGCCATTGTTGATCAATCCCTGGACATTTTGTCGTGGCAGCACCCGGAGATATCTGGATTTCTGTAATCCTGTCTCTCGTCTGCAAGCAGAGGGCGCAGAACCAGAGAAAGGATGGCCAGAAGCGAGCTCATCGTCAACAAACCCCCACGGTCGTATCATAGCGAACAAGAACCATGCTCCAGCTGGGCTCAAGCATATGTGAATAGTCATCTGCTCACAGGCCAACAAACGCAACTTGTACGGTTGCTGTAATCATGATAGGGCTTCGGCACCTTGGTTCATGGGATCCTGCACAAAGTACCACACCATCACTGCAATGAAAAGCTTTACCTCGAATGGCATCGTGGATCACAGAGTGTTGAAAGTTCTCAAATCTTATTATTATTGTTATTGTTGTTTTTATTCATATTTTTCCCCCCTGCTCGAGGCCCGTCCCACCCACGTCATGCAGCTTCAATTGACAGCGCAAAGTTGCATCGTGACGGCAACGGATGGTCCCCATTGGGAACACTTTTCGAACTGATAGGTAACCCCAACGCCATCCACCTGCATGATAAAGGTTACTTTCGGATTCCATGCATCCTGTCCTTTTTGCTTTTACCAGTCAAATAAGGGGTAGGTTTGGTCTTTCTGTTGTTCGAAATGCTTCCAGCATAATCCTCCCAGAAGCCCGAAGGAACATTGTATTTTTCCTAGCGAATTAATGGCTTTTCTTTCTCTGTATTTCTTCCAAGAAGTGACCATAGACATCGAACTAAGTCGTTCTCAGTATCTGTCGCGAATTTTTTAGGTACGCAACAAAGAACGGACTTGTGGGATCTGGAACTCGCTACCGGGCAGCACACGGACACGACGCACTCGCACACACATCAGGAAATGTCCTACGAAGATCAAGGGTCCTTTGTTACACGGAAAAGACGACATACCTACCTAAACTCGAACTTTTTTTTCACCTAGAAACGTGTTCGAGTGACACAAAACCGACGGTGGTGTGCCTCGGGCTATGGAAACCAAAGGTTCTGAACCACGGAAGCGGTCTGGAGTCGAGGTTGACATTTCCTTGTCCTGTCTGCAATGACACATCACCAAAACAAAGACAAGACACAAGGACAGACAGGCAAATTTACCGAGGGCATCGAGATGGCGAGTTTCAGACCCTTCGCCTCCAAGTGTAATGCTCGACTACAGTAACCCAGACAGAGACAGCCAACGAACAACGCTGAAAGGGGCTACAGTGGCTACAATGTTGTTACACAACACAAGACTATTCATCATTCGAGGCCACTTGGTGCTTATTGGACTTTACTTGCCCTTGATAGTCGCGACGTCTCGACAGAGACAGGAAGCTCTTTCGCCCATAGTTTCTGATTGGGAAAGACATAATGCAACCTGAAAATACCGGCATTTCCGGAACCGGAGTAGAGATTCCGCATTGGTGTTGCAGAAAGCGAAGAGAACGAGGAGAGGAAGGAGAGAGAATGTAACAGAATCGATAACACGTAGGTGAAAGGTGAGGGCCAGATGACTAAGTGAGCCAGTCAAGTCCGTGGACTAACATGAGGAATGGCAGTCCTCTTGAAGTACGCGAATGGTGTAGTTGACCCGGGTCTTCAACCACCGTATATATAAGTATGTGTGTGTATGTGTGTGTGTACCTCTCGCGGAACCACAGAAAAATTGTCATGCAGACGTTGCCGAGCAGGTAAATTAACAGGCCATGGCTTGGTTTCGTTAAGATGGCTACGCGTGAAGGGACAGATTGGGACACATTTATTCGCCTCGGCATCCCACGCGGAGGCTCCCACGGCAACACCCATCCTCGAATATGTATTCTGGACGGTCGATTGCATTGAGTCAACTTTGGCTCTTGACAGCTCTTGCTCTCTTACCCCGTGAGTTGTCGAAGCTGGCGGCTCATAGCCTGTTCCCCTCACCAACGGCATCATTCACTACTAGACTTGGTGAGAATTAATTATCTTGATATTATCACTTGTTTTCGTCACGTACCTAATTCTATTTGGCGTTCGAGTTGTCAAGTCGAAACCGGAATCGACCCATACTAACACGTTAGACATTAACATCAATACAATACTTTTAATAAAGTCCTGGAGGGTGTATTCCTGTCCCGTTATATCAACAGATAACGGCAGTATGTAGTGATGTTGGCAAACCGCCTCATAGCGTCAGTGAAGGAGCCAAAAACCAGGTCAGCCAGCCATATCTGGAGAAGCAGGGCTACCGAGAGGGCTTGAAGCAATGTGCATTGTTGAAGGGACGGTTGGAGCCATTGTTTGAGAACAAACATCCAGACAATTCGACGCCATAGTGAGCTCGACGGTAAAGAAGCAGCCAGCCATTCAGCCGCCTTGGAAGGGGTTAGTCATGCTGGCTGTTCGAGCCTTGCAACAACCGACAACCCCTTGAAGTGATACCCTTCGGAAACGAAGCCGATCAACTCCGAACTGGACAATCCAAAATCACATAGTGGGAAGGAGATATCTGTGATCCAGACGGTGGGCTGGCCAATAATGTTGTACGGAAGTGATTGTCTCGTCTCAGAAGAAACTGTTGTATAGGTAGAGGCACCTAGGCAGTGCCAAGCATAGTAGTGTAGTGTATTGGAAAGTCAAACCATCGTCGGATATCAACGTTGGTCTGTGCACATTAATGGTAGAGCCCAGACTTAGGTTGCGGATAGTGAGTGATTCAACTATTCGCGAGGCTGTACTACGATATACAGTCTTTGATACCTACAGTAATTACCCCTGCTCGTGCATGCACCTGCTCGTGCATAACACCCTCTAAATGCTTATAGAGTGCTGGCCGCAATTATTTAGTATAGGCAAGTGCTAAAGTGCATTTTTACAAATCTACCGGGCCGTCAAATTGGTGGATATACATTTATTAATTAGTCTAACAACCCTTACTAGCCCTAATAGGGCTATTAAAACCCCTTAACAACTCCCCTAATAGCCCAGATTTTAAGTCCCTAATATATATATTAAAACCGCCAAAAATCCCAATTTTCTATACTATTATACTAAACTATTTTGAATAAATTATAACGTTACTAGGTGCTAATATATATATCCAGTAGCCTCCCCTCCTCTTTATTATTTTAGGAAATCCTATTGCTAATAGATTTGTATAATAGTAACTTCCTTAAAAAACTATATCTCGGGGTAGAAAAAAAACGCTTTATAAGCACCGCAATACTATAAACCGCGACTCCCTTACGTAAGCATAGAGATTCCTCCTCTAAGAATAGTTCTATTATAAAACCCCTCGTTCTAATTAGAGAATTACTACCGTATAGATTAAGAAGAAATAAGACTTCACTTTCCTACAATATATAATTTTATATTATTTTAATAAGAAATATAATCTGTAAGAACTATTCGATGCCCAATTCTTATAAACTCCCCGCGTACGTAAGGGAGAATAGTCGGTTTTTAAACGGTTATTTTACTAATAGTAGTTAGGTATTGAAATTCGTAGTTTTAGTATTTCTATTAAATTTTTATAGTAAAAGGTAAGGAATTTATAACTTTAGTATTTAGAAATTTAAAACTACAAACCAACAAACCCTTAATTCGTACTATAATTTAAAAAAAAGTAATATTATCTCTTTCGCTATCGCTATAATTTATTTAAGAGTACCTTCGCTAGTAAGGCTACTTCTACGCTAATTTACAATTCTAATATACTTAATAAAATAGTTCAACTACGAGACTTCGTAGCGAACTTCCTGCGGGGTAACCAATATAATATAAATAAGACTAGGCTCTTTTGGAAATAAACTCCAAACCTCGGTTTATTTAGCAAGGTTAAACCCGGCGCTAAATACAATAAATTATACATTTCTCTTACTCTTACGATTAATAATATTAACAATAATTAATTTGAAATTTAAGTAATAGGCAAAACAAAGGTCCCTTATACTTTAAAATAATTTAATTTTAATAGTACTAAAATTATATAGAAATATAATAAAAAAGTATAAATAACGGGTATAATTATAGTAGAATAATTACAATCCTTTTATAACTATTATACCCGCAAAAAGCCCAGTCAACGGATCGTTTTAATTCTTAATAACTTTTCTAATTATTAAATCGGTGTCAGGAACGTAGGCGAAAGGTAGGTTGAGGTAACTACGGTCGTAGCCGCACGTAGGGGACGGCAAGTTAGAGGTCAATCCAAAGATGTATTGATAGCTACCAACTACAATAAGATACACTCCGTTGAACCTCTTTTATACCTATACAAACTCTATTCCTCCGCTAACGAGCATTATAGAGCCTTATACTAGTTTAGCGCCTCGGCGCGGTACCGGATTATCCTTCCCGCGGGTCCGACCCAATATAGGCGTTATTATAAATAATCCTATACTTCTATTAACGAAGGGGAATAGTAGCCGTTAAAGTGCCTCTATATACGAATTTTTAGCTTCCTAATACAACCCCCCCCCTTATAGGTTCTATCTTCGGAACTTCTATAATAAACGCTAGGTACTATAGCGTTATCGGGCGTTATTTACTATAGCCGCCGACGCTATATTCCGGATTGTAGCCGCTCCGCCCCTAGCGAACTACCTACTAGAATATTAGTATTGTAATGTCTATTCTCCCGAATTCTAAATATAACTACGAAGCTGGCTGCTAGAATATCGGTATTGTAATATCCCTTCTCTTAAATTCTAAATATAGATACGAAGCCGCCCGCTAGAATATTAGTATTGTAATATCTATTCTTATAAATTCCAAATATAAATATAAAACCGGTATTAAATTTAAAATATTAGTATATTGTCCGCTAGAATATTAGTATTATAATGTCTATTCTTATAAACTCTAATACGGATACGAAACTAATATTAAATTTAAAGTATTAGCGTGCTACCCGCTAGAATATCGGTATTGTAATATTTATTCTTATAAATTCTAATATAGATATAAAACCGGTATTAAATTTAAAGTACTGGCGGGGTTCCCGACTGTTATTAAGACTATTATTCTATAGGCGTATAAAGTAGTAAATTTTATTTTATTTAATAAGGAGTGTTATTCTGAATTTAAAAGTATTAATAAATACCTTAGGATGCTAATATAATTATGCTTTATAATTCTTTTCCCTGGATACTATCTGTTATCTACGCTTATGGCGCGGTTTAATACTTTTGTAAAGTACCTTCTATTATTTACGCCTACTTTGGAATATTTATGTAATTAAAACCCGAAGTTCCTCTTGTAAATTATTCTTTATTATTCGCGCTTATTACAATTTATTATAATACTTGGATACGATCCCCCTTCCTATAGGTTCCGACTTCGGAACCTTCGTTTCCATCCCCCGCCTCCTATAATTCTATATATTATTTCTTCTATAAATTTCTTTTATTTATATTATTCCTTCCTTATCGCCTTCCCGTTACCCTTGCTTTGTTCTTTATATTATTCCCTCCTTTTTAATAGTATAATTCTTAACTACTTTTTTTATTTTCCCTACTATAATCCGGGGTATGTACTTTCCTATTTTCCGTCTTTCCCTCCTATTTTTTTATAACTACCGCTATTATTTATTCGTTTTATCCTTCTCCTTTTAATTATCGCCTTCGTTTTATTCTTCTATTTACCCCCTCCTACTACCTATATAATTACTTAACGTTCTACTTACTTTATATTATTTTATATTCGCCCGCTTTAAATTATATTCGCTTACTTTAATTTATATTTATATAGGAACCTCCTCCCTTATTTATATAACGTCCCTTCTACCTACCCTCTTCGCCTCTCCTCTTTTCCTCCTTCCATCCTTACCTTTATAATTATATTTATTACCCCCTCCTTTAATTTTACGGCCACTTTATTTACCCCTTTGCCTAAACCGCCCTCCGCTATGGATATACGTATTTCTATTATATATTTATATATTAATTTCTATTTCCTTTATAAGTCCGATTAATATATTTACTTTTCCTTCCTATTTTCTTCCTTTCCGTCCTATCCTCTCTTTCCTCTCGCTTTACGCCCGTAACTAACTTCTAATTGGCTATTCCTTTTTTATGCTCTAATAATATCCGCCCTTTTATTTATTTAAAATATAATACTACTTTAACCTAGGCGTTCGTTAGCGCCCTAACTTTAAATTTATATAAAGTACTCTATTTAATTAATACGCATACCTACTAGATTAAAGGTACGCTATTTTCCCCTTAATATCTCCCCTATTTTTTTTTTTTTTTTTTTTTTTTTTTTTTTTTTTTTTTTTTTTTTTTTACTAACGTCTTCTCCTTCCAAAATTCAACGAGAGATCGCAATATTCGCTATCGCTACGCTACTATATACTCGAAGTCCCTTGCGGTATTTGTAATCTCTAAAATAATATATAAGATATAGCGGCCGAGATTATACGCTTTATTAATATTAGTAGCCCCCTACTTACCCCCCTTTTATAACGGTTGCATTGGTCTATGGTAGCGTTTTAGGTTACAATATAGGT